AAGTGCCAATCTTCTAAACTGAATTTCAAAATGAAGGAACTGAAATTTGTCGGCAACATAATTACTGACAAAGGAATGAAAGTGGACCCAGACAAGGTTGCTGCGATCACAGAAATGCCTCCTCCACGCAACAAGGCTGGGCTCCTGAGATTCATAGGGATGGTCAACTACTTATCACCCTTCTGTGAAAATCTGAGTGCAACAATTCGCCCTCTCACAATGCTCACACAGGGAGGTGTACCATTCTCTTGGGCGTCAACACAAGAAACTGCATTCAATCAGGCCAAACAACTTATATCAACAGCACCTGTGCTAAGTTATTATGACCTGCAAAAGAATGTGGTATTGCAAGTGGATGCTAGTGAGGAAGGTCTTGGGGGTGCCTTACTTCAGCCTGATGCTAATGGAAAACTTCATCCAGCGGCATTCACATCCTGCAGCATGAATGCGACAGAACAGAGATATTCCCAAATTGAGAAGGAGTGTCTTGCGATATGCAATGCATTTGCCAAGTTTGACCAGTGGCTGTACGGAAAGGCAGACATTGAAGTACATACTGATCATCAGCCACTGGAAACAATCATGAAGAAGCCACTGAACAAGGCCCCTGCAAGGCTACAAAGAATGTTGTTAAAACTACAACGCTATCACTTCACTGTCAAGTACAGAAAAGGGACATCACTTCATCTTGCAGACACACTGTCACGAGCAGCACTACCAACTCCAATCAATGCCAAGGTGACAGGGTATGAAGTATTCCGTCTGGAACTAGAACATGAATATGATGAGCACAATCCACATCTCCATGAAGAAACTGAGGCCAGACTCCGAGAGGAAACTGCGAAAGATCCATTGATGTCTCAGTTGTACACACTGATAGGTCATGGATGGCCAGATGACAGAAACCTACTGGATCCAGCTTTGGTCTCCTACTGGGGCTATAGAGATGAACTTAGCATCAGCAATGGGATCATATACAAAGGTTCACTTGTGATGATCCCACAGAGCATGTACAGAGAGATGCTGGAAAAGATACACTTGAATCACTTTGGAGCTGAATCAAACATACGAATGGCTCGAGAGGTCCTCTTTTGGCCTGGGATGAGGAACTCTATTCATGATATGTGCAGTGCGTGTGGAACATGTGCACAGTATGGAAATGAAGCACCCAAAGAACCCATGAAGTCTTTACCAATACCCACCATGTCCTGGCAAATTATAAGTCAAGATTTATTTGCCTTTGAGAAAAAGACTTACCTTGTCACAGTTTGTCACTTCTCTGACTGGATTGAGGTTGACGAATTGGAAGACACTCTCTCCGCTACAGTGATAGCCAAAACAAAGGCTCATTTTTCTCGCTATGGGATTCCGAGTGTGTGTCATACAGACAATGGACCTCAGTTCATCAGCAAAGAATATGAAGACTTTGCTCAGCAGTATCACTTCAAGCACACAACGTCTTCACCATATCATCCACAAGGAAACGGAAAGGCTGAGTCAGCTGTCAAAGTGGCAAAAGCTATGATGAAGAAATCTGATGACAAAGAACTTGCATTCTTGAACTACAGAAATACTCCTCAAAAGGGACATACCTATTCACCTGCACAACGCATGATGAATCGTCGCACAAGGACTTTGCTGCCGACACCAAATCAACTTCTGCAGCCCCAGGTAGTGGATCCTGAAATAGTTTATAGAGAGATCAGGGGCAAAAGAATCTCTAGCAAGGCTCAGTACGATAGATCGTCTGGTACAGAGCATGAACCAATAGAAACTGGCAGTTATGTGTATGCTAAACCTCCACCAAACCAGAGAGGAAAACCTTGGGCATATGGGCAAGTCATCCACAAGGACAATACAAGGTCTTACACAATAAAAACCCAGGGTAGCACACTGAGAAGAAACCGTGTGCAAATCAAGCCAGCAGCTGCGCCACCACCATCGAACAACTACAACTCATCACAGAGGGAGCATAATCAACTGATCTTGAAGAATGCCGAATTCCAAACAGCTGTACCAAGTTCACCCATGAAACCTGTGACAGATCGAAGTGTAACGGCCCAAGCCAGCCCTAACATTACACAGAATGTAGAACAATCAAAGACTACACAGCCAGGTTTTCAACCTACAGAAAGTGTTACAGATATTACCAAGATATCTGAAGAGACCTGCTCAGTAAAACGTCCACTCAGGGAAAAAAGATTGCCTTTAAGATACAATGACTATATAATGCTTGAGTGATTTGATGTAATTATTGTCAACATGGACATGCATGAATTACGGTCATGAACTTTGAGGCAAGACTAAAAGATGCGGTTGCATATACAGACAGTGCCTGTGTGAACTAAGCAGATACATTTAACTGATCATTGCAGATGTTGAGAACTTTTAACGGTTACAATCGTTTAATATCATTTGAGTTAAAGGAGACATATTCTCTTTCTTTCTTTTTTTTTCTTCTTTTTTTTTGTTTCTTCCGAAGGAGGGGAGATGTTAGTATGTTCATTTCCGAGTTATTCCGATTGTTGGAAATACGAAGGTTTGCGAATGTCAGGCCGGAAGTAGGATGGTCGGGAAAAGATGGCGGCCCGCATGTGTTGTGAGTCCCGGTGTATCGTCAGGCGTAATAAAGCTTCTACAAATAAAGACAACTGAACTGTGTCTTTATCATTGGTCCAACGAGGTTGGAAACTACATGACACATGAAAGATAATTTTAAATATGACAAAGACCGATCCTGATCCCCTTAGTCGCCTCTTATAACAAGCATAGATGCCTCTTACGGCAAGCATGGGTTGCTGAAGACCTATTCTACCCCGGATCTTCACGGGTCTCTTTTTAGTAAGTCTTCTGTTGTACACAGAAAACACGATTATCATAATGCAAGTTTTCTAGTATCATTTGGACAGACTAAATCCCCAACCAAACCATTCAGTTTACTTAAATAAGCTATGAAGACATGGAACATCTATGGATAACAACTTCTTGATTGAAACTCACGTATGGTTTTAATAAGTGATCCCCCTTTGTCAATCATATGATATATGAAACATTGACACTTGTAATTTTGTAGATTTGAGTTAATTAATTACGTGTTTAGCCGGCAGAAACTTAATCTTATAATTATTTTTATAATTTCAAATGTCTCCATTGTATCTATTTGTTATACATCTATTAAGAATCTTTGAAGTTAAGTGGTTAATCTATATCACATGATAAAACAATAAATTTCAGTGTTGACCTAACAATAGAAAACTGACCCCAAAAAGTTTGGTTTCATCATTTGACTGACACGGACTGCAAATATTGACTCGTCACATGATCACTATGTCACCTAATACATAATCAGTATCGAGTTCCTCTGTGAGAAACACATAATTAATAACAGGGACAAAAGTAAATTCATAAATGAGTGAGTGAGTTGGGTTTAACGCCACTTATAACAGTATTCCAGTTATATCATGGCATGTCAGCTTAAAAAGGGAGGAAAGCCCAAAGTGATACATGTCTCAGACGGTTACCACTTCGGTGAAACCCACGAGCACAGATATGGTGCTGACAAACCTAGAAACATAATCGGGGTTCCTGTTTTGCCCAAGGGACGCAACTCTGCACAGCAAATCGTGGCACCTCAGACGACTGGGCCACCCGTGCCCCAAAATTCATAAATGATCTTCAGTATAACAAACAAGTTTTTTATGGATTTCGCTTGATGAAGTAGGAAGCATATACTCCGAAACGTTGTGTTCCTCATAACAAAGAAGTTGACATCCATAAATTCTCTTCCTTATGTGTATCACTTCTAATGCCTTTCAAAGACTCAACAAACAAGTACTTGCTTTTGATGAGGTGATATGCGAAAACAAGGCCCTTCGGACCGACCCCTTCAGTGGTCTGCCTAATCCCCAACATATTGACTGTCCGGCCAGACCACCTCAGGGCTGGGGTCATCAGGAACTTGTTTCTCATTATGACCTCCCCGACAGTAATCACTTGTACCGGTATAATAAGTGTAGTACTTAATCAATAAATGATGTCAAGATTTTCCAAATCATTTCACCCTTAGGCCACACTTTTTACTTGCTTTACATACGTTTTACAGGGAAATACCTATCGGTAGGTGGGAAAAAACAAACTAAAGCAAAAAAATCAATTGTTTTTAGTTTTCTGCTCCATTTTAAGTCAGTTGGTATAAAAATATAAATGGATGAATGTGTGAGGAGAGCCTGTTGCTCTAAGCCATGCAAACCTGATGAATCAGGCAGGAATACTGTTGTTCACCTATGCATCCTGTCTATTTCAGTAAAAATTTAGAAAATGTTTTTTGGGTGCATCAGGTGGGATAGGGGTGAAAAAGAGAGCAAATTTTGAAATTGTTTTCTCCAAAGATTTACAGTTCGCGGATCCATAGTACAATAGTAACAAGTAAAACAAGAAAATGTCATTATCACTATCCCCACCATGGGGAACATTAGAATGTTGTTTATTCACATATAAATAACATGGAAGTTAATGTTAACAATAAAAATAATTTCTAATATATCTTTAAGAAGTCATAAGGTGGCTTTATGACATGAGAAAATCTTATTGTCAAACTCAGTCTTGATAAGTATCTCTTAGATCAGCTGGCAAAATTTCATTCATGTAACTTCAGTAGTTTCTCAGAAAACTTGTCCCCATTTCACACAGATCACTAAGTTGAAGAGCCAAGAGTAAGGGACATAACTCTGTAAAAATAAGTTAGTGAGTGAGTGAGTGAGTTGGACTTAATGCCACTTTTAACAGTATTCCAGTTACATCACGGCGTGTCAGCTTAATGTGGGAGGAAAGTCTGAAGTGATGCAGGTCTCAGATGTTCACCACTTCGGTGAAACCCACGAGCACTGGTATTGTGCTGACAAACCTAGAAACATATTCGGGGCGAACCAGGATTTGAACCCACAATCATAGGTTTCAAGGGACGCAACTCTGCACAGCGAATCGCGGCTGGGCCACCCGTGCCCCCTAAAAATAAAATAAGTTACAACAACAGATTTCGAACTCTTTTAAGATCATGATTAGTAACATCAGTTAGTAAAATTTCATTTCTCTTGACTCTTTTTTGAGAAAAAATTGTCCCCTTTGAGAAGCGGACTGGCAAACTCCATTCCTGTATCCTCTGCCCGACTTCGCAGCGGGGGATAAAAAGAGCGTGGCCCACCGAGTCCTGCATGGCGAGGACAGTAGAGTAAATCAGTGCAGGTGTGCCTGCAGTCCAAATATCTACGTAGTCGTGCATCTTGAGTGTGACCTGTCACAGTTTATAAACCTTATCATCGCCTCTTCTTTAAAGAATGAGTGGACGTTATCGAGAACATTCCTCACAGCAATAGTCTCACTAGATAATAAATGTCATCTTATGTTTAATCAGCAAGGAAGCCCAGTCAACTATTTGTGTTGTTGTACAGCTAAAACCTGACCTATCTAAAAAAAGGTAGCAGTGAGGGAGTGAGTGAATTTGGTTTAACGTTGCTTTTAACAGTACTCCAGTTTTCTCTTGGGGTTGTCAGCTTCATGTGGAAGGAAAACCTGAAGTGATCCAGTCTTTGATGTTTACCACTTTCTCATGACCATACTGAAATACTTAGAAACAATCAAGGCAGATCTGGGATACAAACCCAAGATCACAGGTTTCTGGCATGCCTAAGGGAGGCAACTCTGCACAGTGAATTGCAGCAGCTGAAATGACTAGGCTTTTTATTCCCCCCTCCCCACCAAAGAAATAATATGCTAATCTTATACACATTTTTTAAATGCTGCTCAAACTCAAAACCTCAAAATCATATTTCCGGAATTTAACAGACTTTGGCTAAGCTGTTAAATTTCTCTTTGAAAAAGATAGATGGTTTTGCTAAATGACGATCTCAATACCGTATTTAATTTCTTCCTTCATAAACAAGTTCATTTAATGGTTTTAAAATTCAACTCTCAGGCAGTATACAGATAAAAATAAAAACTTGGAGTAAATTAATCCTTTTATAGGCGAGCCCTTTCAGCATTAATGTATTGCCTGAAGAGGTAAAGTGCTGCACCTACAAGCGGTCAACTGTGAAAGGATTAATTTACTCAAGTAAAGATATGTAAACATCTCAAGATAAACAACCTGTTAACCATTCATCAAAGGAAATAAAGTAAAGAATGTCGCCAAACCAAACAATCAAAATCATTCAACTCGGGATGTGAGCTAATCAAACAGAGGTGAATACGAGACAACACGTGACAGTATTTCCATAGAGGTCACCAGTTTCCATTGCCAATCAAGACAAAGAAAATCCACTAGAGCTGGAAGACAAGTAGAAATGACAAATCAGCTCGCAGCGATGTCCGATAATTGCAAGACAGCAGCAGCCAGTTTCTCATACTCCTCCAGACTGTTGTAGATGTGGGCAGATATCCTAACATACAGACGATTTTGGATTGCCTTGATCGGCACCTGAAATAGCCACACATTTAAATGAGTCTTGACTGGGTTGAAGGAGAGCAACATGATACATGTATATAGCGGAGTGGCCTCCCCTTGCCTACCAGTAGTTGCTGACCCATGAGACTTACAGCTAATGCTCCCACTTTTAACCACGATACTGAGAAGATTGAAGTTTAAATGAGAACAGAGCTATACGTTTGTTATACCTCTATTAAGAATCTGGCTATTCCATTGGTTAATCCATACTGCATGATATAATACATTCCAATTTATACCAAAAAATCATGTGACTGAAGCTGACATTGATTCATGATCAGTATTGACCTGTCACGTGATGAATATTGATTGTCTGCCAGAAAACAAGATGGCGTCTGGTGGTAGGGATCGGGCGGTCTGGCTCACTGACTTGGTTGATGCATAGATTGTCTGGTTCCGACTCAATTATTTACAGACTGCCGTCATTCAACTTGCATATTGCTGAGAACGGAGTTAAATAACAAATAAACAAACATACCTCTATGCCGTGTTCTTGGTAGAGCATGTTCTGCACCTGCTCTGCATGACAGTAGGTAAGAGTGTCGCAATCCTTGAAGAGCTGCAGATGAGGGAGCTGTATGAGGGCCATGGAACCTAGGACAAAAACAACACCTTGAAGAAACAACCAGAGCTACAGGGGCTCAAGACGCGTGAAGATCCGGGGTAGAATAGGTCTTTAGCAACCCATACTTGCCGTAAAAGGCAACAATGCTTGTCTTAAGAGGCGACTAATGGGATCGGGTGGTCAGGCACGCTGACTTGATTGATGCATGTCATTGTATCCCAATTGAGTGGATCGATGCTCATGATGTCAATTATTAGATTGTTTGGTCCAGACCCGATCATTTACAGACCGCTGTCATATATCTGGAATATTGCTGAGTGCGCCGTTAAACAACAAACAAACAACCAATCATCTTTATGAAGTAACAGAAGAACTGAGTGGTGACGATGTCTAAAAAAACTATATTTTATCCGAAAACCATATTTTGATAATTATGCTGCTCAAACAAGCGAATGACCTTTAAGTAACCTTGAAAGTTGACATGACCATGAGACCTTTCAGGTTTTGATAATACTTTCTATTTTTCATTACTGATAGCAAAATTTAAAGATTTAATTTTTCAGCATTGACGTGATCCTTGGTTGGATGTCTGCCAAATTCTAATCAATTTTAGATGTCACCAAGTGGTCTCGTATATCAAACTTGATTTCTGAATTCAAAGACTCAGTCGTGAGACAAAATCATTTAAATGCTTTAGTATAATAGCACTGTAAATCCTTTTTCAAACCAAGCAAAACGTTTTATTCTCACCGAACATTGCGAGAGGTGCTGCAAGACCTGTGTCCCAGGAGGTTGTCAACAGGTTAGCTGAAAAAACAGCAGGTCATCAGAACAAAAGGTCAAACTGATGTACAGCTGTCAATGATGACCAGTTCAACCAGGACCGGTGAAGATCCAGGGTAGAATAGGTCTTCAGCAACCCGTGCTTGCAGTAAAAGGTGACTATGCTTGTCGTAAGATGCGACTAAAGGGAATTGGGTGGTCAGGTTTGCTGACTTGGTTGATGCACGTCATCGTATCCCAATGGCGTGGATCAATAGATGCATCTGTAACTATACTGCATCTGTGACTATATGGTGTCTACTACAAACGTACCTGCATCTGTGACTATATGGTGTCTACTACAAACGTACCTGCATCTGTGACTATATGGTGTCTACTACAAACGTACCTGACTCTGTGACTATATGGTGTCTCCTACAAACGTACCTGCATCTGTGACTATATGGTGTCTACTACAAATGTACCTGCATCTGTGACTATATGGTGTCTACTACAAATGTACCTGCATCCGTGACTATATGGTGTCTACTACAAACGTACCTGCATCTGTGACTATATGGTGTCTACTACAAACGTACCTGCATCTGTGACTATATGGTGTCTACTACAAACGTACCTGCATCTGTGACTATATGGTGTCTACTACAAACGTACCTGCATCTGTGACTATATAGTTTCTACTACAAACGTACCTGACTCTGTGACTATATGGTGTCTACTACAAACGTACCTGACTCTGTGACTATATGGTGTCTCCTACAAATGTACCTGCATCTGTGACTATATGGTGTCTACTACAAACGTACCTGCATCTGTGACTATATGGTGTCTACTACAAACGTACCTGCATCTGTGACTATATGGTGTCTACTACAAACGTACCTGACTCTGTGACTATATGGTGTCTCCTACAAATGTACCTGCATCTGTGACTATATGGTGTCAACTACAAACATACCTGACTCTGTGACTATATGGTGTCTACTACAAACGTACCTGACTCTGTGACTATATGGTGTCTCCTACAAATGTACCTGCATCTGTGACTATATGGTGTCTACTACAAATGTACCTGCATCTGTGACTATATGGTGTCTACTACAAACGTACCTGCATCTGTGACTATAATGTGTCTCCTACAAACGTACCTGCATCTGTGACTATAATGTGTCTACTACAAACGTACCTGCATCTGTGACCAGCCTACGGATGTAGTGCTGTATTCTGTTCACACCTACAGACAGCCAGAAGTCCAGCAGGGTGTGAAGAGACAGGAAGGGGCTGTAGTCATGTAGCCCTGAAAAATATATTACTCTTACAAACTCTACAGCAATCTGACTGGCGAGTCGTCCTCTTGTACAATCCCATACAAGATTGACCAGTTTAGGTATGACGTGTGACATAATGTGACAAACTGACGTCACACTTTGAAGAAACTAGCAATGCTAACTTTGTCACATGTGTCATATAAACAGGGTGTACAGGATATGTGACTAGAGGTCATGGACAGACAAAATTCTGTAAACCCCACTCCTGACACCTGTTTGTTTGTTTGTTTGTTTGTTGTTTAACACACACTCAACATTATTCCAGCTATACGATGGCGGTCTGTAAATAATCAAATCTGGACCAGACAATCCATTGACATCATGAGCATCGATCTACGCAATTGGGATACGATGACATGCATCAACCAAGTCAGTGAGTCTGATCACCCGATCTTGTTAGTCGCCTCTTACGGCAAACATGGGTTACTGATACATGTAATTTATCATCCAAAACTGGCTCCCACAGGAGATATTGCTTGGGTGAGATCAAGCGATATCTATACTGTAGATATCGCTGCAATGAAATTGCACCCCAATGCTTTGCAGACCATTGTGACGTCATTGATGTCAAATGACATCACTAATGGCTCTGCTACTGAAGCTGTTAGCAGTTCATTTTACACTTAAGACACTGCATATTACTTTCTACAAACTGAAAAAGTTGGAAGAATGATGTTGGATGATAAATAAAATCTCACCCGAGTGTCTTTTGATATCAAATATATCAACACTCGTTGATAAAAGTGGAAAAAAATCGTCGGCAAGCCTCGGAGTTTTCCCACTTTTATCAACTCGTGTTGATATATATGATATCAAAAGACACGAGGGTGAGATTCTCTATATATAACTCATAAAATATTTCCGCTGCTGGGATTTGCGCCCTACACATTGCATGAAGAGAAGCTCATGCTTCTCAACTCGCTACCACTTGTGTTATTAATTATTTTGACCAGTGTTTGAAAAAACAGGTTCTTGTTTTTTCATACTGATCATAAACTGAAATATCCACTCACATCTGAATGATTTCATTAACTTACTCAAATATATTTAAAGATATCCACTTGCCAGGTATCAAATGTTAACAAACAGTAGATCTGCTTCTCCTCCTTTAAATGTTTCACATTTACACGATTTCTAGAAGGAGTGAGAGAGTCTTAAAGCTGCTTTGAACAGTGTATCCTTTATATTATCGCATATAAGCTAAATGTTGGAGGAGAGCGACGAGGGTCCTCGGCATTGATATAGTGCTGACAGACCACGAATCATAATTAACATAATTTTAGGATTCAAACACATTATTAGCAGATCCTGGCATGAGTAAGATAGGTAACTGCACAGCCTTAGACCACTTGGGCAAACAAGTCATGGCTGAAATACTGCTTGAAGTGCAATAAAGTCTCCCTATGTCCTCTCCATGTCCGGGCTAGAAGTGATAATGAGTGGGTGGGTGGGTGGATAAGTGGATGGATGGGCAGGTGGGTGGATGAGTGGAGGGATGGGTGGGTGGGTGGATGAGTGGATGGATGGGTGGGTGGAAAATGAGTGGGTGGGTGGGTGGATGAGTGGATTGATGAATGGGTGGATGGATGGACAGGTGGGTGGATGGGTTGGTGGATGGGTGGGTGGGTGGGTGGATGAGTGGATTGATGAGGGGTGGATTGATAAGTTGATGGATGGGCAAGTGGATGGGTGAGTGGGTGGATGAGTGGATGGATGAGTGGATGGGAGAGTTGGTGGATGAGTGAAAGGATGAGTGGATGGATGAGTGGGTGGGTGAGTAGGTGGGAGAGTTGGTGGATAGGCAGGTGGGTAGAGGATTGGGTGGAGGAGTGGGTGGATGAGTGGGTAGAGGAGTGGGGAGATGGGTCCGTGGATGAGTGGATGGATGAGTGGGTGGGTGAGTGGGTGGATGAGTGGATGGATGAGTGGGTGGGTGAGTGGGTGGATGAGTGGATGGATGAGTGGGTGGGTGAGTTGGTGGATGGGCAGGTTGGTAGATGAGTGGGTGGATGAGTGGATGGATGAGTTGGTGGAGGAATGGGTGGGTGAGTGGATGGATGAGTGGATGGATCAGTGGATGGATGAGTGGGTGGGTGAGTGGGTGGGTGAGTGGGTGGATGAGTGGATGGATGAGTGGGTGGATGAGTGGGTGGATAGGCAGGTGGGTGGAGGATTGGGTGGATGAGTGGAAGGATAGGCAGGTGGGTGGAGGAGTGGGTGGATGAGTGGGTGGATGAGTGGGTAGAGGAGTGGGGAGATGGGTTGGTGGATGAGTGGGTGGATGAGTGGGTAGAGGAGTGGGGAGATGGGTTGGTGGATGAGTGGAAGGATGGGCAGGTGGGTGGAGGAGTGGGTGGATGAGTGGGTGGATGAGTGGGTAGAGGAGTGGGGAGATGGGTTGGTGGATGAGTGGGTGGATGAGTGGGTAGAGGAGTGGGGAGATGGGTTGGTGGATGAGTGGGTGGATGAGTGGGTAGAGGAGTGGGGAGATGGGTTGGTGGATGAGTGGAAGGATGGGCAGGTGGGTGGAGGAGTGGGTGGAGGAGTGGGTGGATGAGTGGGTGGATGAGTGGGTAGAGGAGTGGGGAGTTGGTCGGTGGATGAGTGGAAGGATGGGCAGGTGGGTGGATGAGTGGAAGGATGGGCAGGTGGGTGGATGAGTGGGTGGATGAGTGGGTAGAGGAGTGGGGAGATGGGTTGGTGGATGAGTGGAAGGATGGGCAGGTGGGTGGAGGAGTGGGTGGATGAGTGGGTGGATGAGTGGGTAGAGGAGTGGGGAGATGGGTTGGTGGATGAGTGGAAGGATGGGCAGGTGGGTGGAGGAGTGGGTGGATGAGTGGGTGGATGAGTGGGTAGAGGAGTGGGGAGATGGGTCGGTGGATGAGTGGAAGGATGGGCAGGTGATGGATGAGTGGAAAGATGGGCAGGTGGGTGTATGAGTGGGTGGATGAGTGGGTGGATGAGTGGGTAGAGGAGTGGGGAGATGGGTCGGTGGATGAGTGGAAGGATTGGCAGGTGGGTGGATGAGTGGAAGGATGGGCAGGTGGGTGGAGGAGTGGGTGGATGAGTGGGTGGATGAGTGGGTGGGTGGGTTTCACTTATCTCTACTATTCTAATAACACAGCTTGGGACACCAGAAAAGGGCTTCACACCTTTTGGGGTAGTGAACCCAGATCACACGCCAACCTCACCACCTAATATTTTTGTTTATGTGTTTGTAAGTTGTTTAACGACACACCCAGCAATATTCCAGCTATATGACAGCGGTCTGTCAATAATTAAACCTGGACCAGACAATTAAGGGACTAACATCATGAGCATCATTCCACGCAAATCAATGACATGAATATCAACAAAGTCACTGAGCCTGAACACTAAATCCATTCGGTCAACTCTTACGACAAGCATAGATTGCTGGGGATCTATATTCTTACCCAGAATCCCAACGAGTATTCCCAATACTGATGAACTGAGTGAGATGGTTTTATGCCACTTTTAGCAATATTCAAGCAATATCACGTCAGGGATACTGATGAAGATGATGTAGAACTAGAGGACACCCATCTGCAAGGTGTCATCAGTCCCCTACCTGCCCATATGAACTCTGAGTTGAAGCCGGATCCAAATCCGTGTGAGATGACGAGGGGCCGAGTAGACTCCTGGAACTGCTTGGCGACATAGAGTAATGCAGCCCCCTTGGGGCTACACAGCCACTTGTGGGCATTGGAGACGTAGAAGTCAGGCTGCAGGGTCCGGAGACTGAGAGGGATGGACCCCAGAGCATGAGCGCCATCTACCAGCACCGGAACATTTCTGTAACAGAGCCCACTACAATGTATAGAACCCGCTTTATAAACCTATAGTGACGCCATCCTGTTGTTTTTTTAAAAAAAAATTCAAATAGTGGAAAGCCCGCAATCGTGACTTTCTAACTGTACTGAACAGTGATACATCAGCAAATATTTATAAGTAACCTTTAATATGCATCTTATGATGACTTTTCACAGGTCAAGCGTCACAATCTGTCTACATGGAAATTCCATGTGAATTGAAGGTGCAACCACACACATCATGTTTGGTATTGTAACCAACTGTTTTCCCATGCATCCACCAGGGCAGGTGATGAACGGGTGTTCAATCTAACATATCACTGACTTCAGTTGTCTGCATGCTGCACATGGCCTTGTCACACCAACTGTCATCAAAATCGTTTTATATTGTAATGTTTTACGATAAAGTATCCAATGTCTTTTATTCTTACAGGTAATTCTTGCACTTAGTTATTTAAGACACTCCTCGGTCTAGGTTGAAAATCTAAAATAGCAAGCACAAAGTCCAAGTTTTACATTTTCCATCAAAACCTCATCTTCCCGAGGCAAGGGAGTTAAGTGACTATGTAAGTCCAGTTTCCACCCTTGCCAAACTAGGCTGGAATTACGGAGGTATATTTTAGCCAGACTAAAGAGTCTGTGCACAGTCCGATCAAAATCGTGTAACAAAATCGGCATCAGGTTCCTCAACTGCCATGCAGATATCTGTCGATTACAGGATTTACAAAGCATGTGTACCATCAACATGAGGTCATGGGAAATTTCCAAAAAAAATCATGTTTTTGATCAAGGTGCTCACATGATTTGATGCCCTTCGCAAAGAAAGACCCCTTACAGTATAGATCTTGAATATAGATCAGATCGTCTTGATTGGTCAATAGGAGGGACATAGAAGGGACATAACTTGTAAGAGCCACTACAATCGAGCCCCGAAATTCAAACATGGTTCGGCAAGGATGGAAACTGGACTTTACAGTTTGTTAACTCCCTTGCCTCTGGAAGAGGCAAAAAACCTCAGATGTTAACTGCATTAACTATAACATTTGGTTTATGTACCACTAAGATTTCCATGGTGGGGGGACACTACCATAGTACCTCTACATACATAGAACATGAACGTATATCTGGAATAGTTAAATACACATATAAAAGTTTGGGCTGTTTTAACCCACCTCTGGTGACAGATCTGTATGATGTCTGACAGTGGGGTGATGTACGGCGTGTTGCTGGGGATGTGGTCAAATATAGCCAACTTTGTCTTGCTCCCATCTAAGTTGTCCTTTACCAAGTCTATGAGCTGCAAACAATATACATAAGATTAGCAATAACTAATAGATACATTGGTAACTAGAAAAAAAAAGTATCTCTACCATTGTTTGTTTGTTGTTTAACGCTGCACTCAGCAATATTCATGCTACATGACAGCAGTCTGTAAATAATCTATACTGGATCAGACAATCCAGTGATTGACATCATGAGCATCGATCTAAGTAAATAGGATATGATGACATGCATTAACTGAGCAAGCAAGCTTATCCAACCAATCCCGTTAGTCGTATCTTGCGACAAGCATAGTCGCCTTTCACAGCAAGCATGGGTTGCTGTAGACCTAATCTTCAAGGATAATCACCACCATTGAGAAATGTTAGATGGCCAATATGACATGTTCTTTTTCAAAGATAAGAGAAACAAAGAAAAAAGTCAAGTGACAGGTATCGTCTGTGTTTGTACATTTGTAACCTGAATTTATCTGCACCACATCAAATCTGTTTTTAGTTTAGTTTGTAGAATTGGACATGTTTTATCTTTTATGAAACTCAAACAATGCATGTCTTTCACTGATTGCAATCATGCCATATAACAAAAAGTATATACCTAGTTTTTAGTCTTTCTTGTTTTCTACACTTTATTAAACCAAACAAGCATGTCAAAGACTTTCACATTCTGATATAATGTTACCTGCTGGGGTCCTTCGAGAGGGAAGTTGACCTTGACCTCGGACACCACGGCCCCTGTATCCACACATACTTGCCGCATCAGCTTCTTCACAGCTCCTACAGAGTTTAGAGTTTAAATATACTTATTGGCAGAAATAAGGGAACACATACAACAGGAAATGTCCTGTGTCCCCAGAGTGAGTGAGTGAGTGAGTGAGTGAGTTAACAAAAACATGCATGTCATAATATGTTATCAACTGAAAGAGCAAGTGTAAAGTGCTGTCAAATCTAGAAACATATGTACCCAGAAAACCAGATCTTATATACTGTAAATCGTGAAACTAATGCGTCTCCAAAAGAATGCGACCACTGGCCCCTAGCCAAAAATGCGACTCAATATGAATCCGACACCACCTCCTGTCAAGCATCAGTGGATTTATATCTAAAGAAAATGTCCTCTGTCGGGTTTACAGGAGAATCCTCACCTTAATTCAACCTTACATTAATCCAATCACACACCAAATAGCACCGCTTATTAGCGCTAAGTAGAGTACTTCCGCTAAAACAATACATGCGCGCTGGCTCATGTCGGCCTTTTACGCAGTCGCAAAGAGCAAAGACACCGTGTTGGGTGGCGTCTGTCTGGACTTGCAGGTGTGATCAGTGATGACATAAGTGAGTAGAACACTTGTCTTGACCCCAGCAGTGACAATTCACAGGATGTAATTTGTGTTTGAATGACAATGTTTATATAAGTACTACAAGTGCTGCTAAAAAAATCAGTGTTGTGGAATACATAGCTGTTTGTTTGTTTTCAGCGTATGTCTAAGTTGGTAATTCTCCTGTCCTAAATGTCTTATTGGTGATATAAACGCGATGTTTAATAATGCGAACAAAGTCCACTCGCATTTTTCGCATTTAATTCATCCTCGCGTTAATTTCAAGATTTACAGTATATATCTATATTACATATATTTTTTCTCTACTTTTAAGAATGGGTGAGTGAGTGAATGATGTTCAGCATCACAGTCATAAACAATCAAGCACTGTCATTAAGGCCAGTAAATAATCGAGTCTGGACCAGACAAACCAGTGACTGAAAGCATCATCAGTGATCTATGACACATGATAAACTGAGAAAGCTGAGAATTAAACTGCACACTGATCCAGTGACCGGGGTAATAATAATGTAGCGCCATGAACATTCACTTGGTATCTTAAATGTAATTATCATCATGATCATCATCATGATCATCATCATCATCATCATTACAAGGAATGATCACAGGGCTTGTACATTGCCTCACCATAGGTGTTGGAAAACATGAAGATGACGTCACCAGGCTTGAAGTCGAAGCTCCTGATGACACTGTTGATGCCAGTCGTAGCATTTGTCATCAACACCAGATCTCTTGGGTCACAGTCTAGGAGAAACAGTCAGCTTCAGGAGAAACCGTCATTGTCATCATTAAACATACACACATTCCATTCAGCATTATGAAAACAAGAAATTTTGTTCACGGATCCAGTGACCAAACATTTCACAATATGGAATAACTCATAAAAACAACTCTTTTGTATCACTTTCTGTACTTGACACGACAGCCATATATGTTAAGGGATGTTAAGGGACTGTTACTTTCACTGTTATTTTCATAACCACCGGCAGCAATGTCTCATTCATTGAGTGGCAATGTCTCATTCATTGAGTGGCAATGTCTCATTCATTGAGCAGCAATGTCTCGTTCATTGAGTGAGTGAGTGAGTATGGTCTACGACGCTTTTAGCAATATTCCAGCAATATCACGGTGGGGGACACCACAAATAGGCTTCACACATTGTAGCCATGTGGGGAATCGAACCTGGGCCTTTGTCGTGACGAAGAAACGCTATAACCACTTTGCATCATTGGATGTCAATGTCTCATTCATTGAATGGCACTGTCTCATTCATTGAGTGGCAATGTCTCATTCATTGAATGGCACTGTCTCATTCATTGAGTGGCAATGTCTCATTCATTGAATGGCACTGTCTCACTCATTAAGTGGCAATGTCTCATTCATTAAGTGGCAATGTCTCATTTATTGAGTGAGTGAGTATGGTCTTACGCCGCTTTTAGCAATATTCCCACAATATCACAGTGGGGGACACCAGAAATAGGCTTCACACATTGTACCCATGTCGGGAATCGAACCCGAGCCTTCATGGTGACAAACAAACACTTTAACCATTGGGCTACCACACCGCCCCCATTCATTGAGTGGCAATGTCTCCTTCACTGAGTGGCAATGTCTCATTCAATAATTGGCAATGTCTTATTCATTGAGTGGCAATGTCTCCTTCACTGAGTGGCAATGTCTCATTCATTGAGTGCCAATGTCTCATTCATTGAGTGCCAATGTCTCATTCATTGAGTGCCAATGTCTCATTCATTGAGTGACAATGTCTCATTCATTGAGTGCCAATGTCTCATTCATTGAGTGCCAATGTCTCATTCATTGAGTGACAATGCCTCATTCATTGAGTGGCAATGTCTCATTCATTGAGTGGCAATGCCTCATTCATTGAGTGCCAATGTCTCATTCATTGAGTAGCAATGTCTCATTCATTGAGTGCCAATGTCTCATTCATTGAGTGACAATGCCTCATTCATTGAGTGGCAATGTCTCATTCATTGAGTGGCAATGTCTCATTCATTGAGTGGCAATGTCTCATTCATTGAGTGACAATGCCTCATTCATTGAGTGGCAATGTCTCATTCAGTGAGTGACAATGCCTCATTCATTGAGTGGCAATGTCTCATTCATTGAGTGCCAATGTCTCATTCATTGAGTGACAATGTCTCATTCATTGAGTGACAATGCCTCATTCATTGAGTGGCAATGTCTCATTCAGTGAGTGGCAATGCCTCATTCATTGAGTGGCAATGTCTCATTCATTGAGTAGCAATGTCTCATTCATTGAATGGCAATGTCTCATTCATTGAGTGGCAATGTCTCTTTCATTGAGTTGCAATGTCTCATTCAATAAGTGCCAATGTCTCATTCATTGAGTGGCAATGTCTCATTCATTGAGTGGCAATGTCTCTTTCATGAGTTGCCATCCTCGATTATCCAGTGCATAATATCTCCATTCTATTGACATAAATACCATGAATCAATTTGCTACCATAGCTTCATTAAGTTTGAATGACACTACACGAAAAATAACTGTCCCATCAAATTAAGCTCATGTGAAATCTGAAGAGAAAATGACAAACAATTTTTAGTCTGATTGCAAGACTTTGGATTATGAAATTAGGAGACAAATGGTTTAACAAGTTCAATACCGACCCACAAACTTGGCAAGCCTTCTTGTGACATACACAAGATGGGGGAGCAACTCCCTGTCGTAGAACCTCAATGGCTGTGACTCAGTGTATCTCTGCCATTGCTGGAGGGAGAAAATACCCAGATTAGACAGAATGGTGATACTTTTAAGACAAATACAATGTGTTTATGAAGTAGACCCTGTCTATTAACTTATTAACATAACATAACCCAACTTGAGGGTACCACAGAGTACCCATATTACAAACCATTTGGGAGCTACAAAAGCTCAGGGTACTCGACAATCTCATCCATATCAGCTCTCAGTTCTCGCTACCACTAAACAAAGATCTGAGGACATCACACGACAGGTCATGTCTAAATGACCTTTCGCAAACTTTGACCGACCAATGAAATGACTAACAAGAAGTTCACATGAGCCAATCAGAAAGCAGCTTTCTCAAGCTTTGAAAAATATTGATGAAAAATATAAAAACTGAGCAAAAGAAGTTTCTGGAATGTCTAATAAATGGCCAAGATTGTAGGCAGTACTTCTGCTGTGGAAAGTATCTTCCATTCCAAATGTTTATCCCATTGAAGTGAGAGATAGACAATGAGTGAGTGAGTGAGTGAGTGAGTATGGTTTTACGCCGCTTTGAGCAATATTCCAGCAATATCACGTCGGGGGACACCAGAAATGGGCTTCACACATTGTACCCATGTTGGGAATCGAACCCAGGTCTTCGGCATGACGAGCGAACGCTTTAACCACTAGGCTACCCGACCACCCCAGAGATAGACAATGATATTAATGGAATCAGGTGTACACCCTGTTACTGTCGTTCGGAATACCCAGTGTTAACCTATTCGAGGTTGCATGATTAGAAAACATATTCCGACTTTCACTTTCCAGATCTGGTGACAGGTCGTTCTGTGACCTATAATGGGATGTCCTCAGGTCTTTATTTAGCTGTAGCAAAAACTAAGATCTGTATTAATGAGATAATGTGTACTCAATATATACCACTCAAAACAGGTTAAAGAACACCATGAAAAATTAACTATAGCAGTATAAAAGAATTTGGTGCTCTTTAACTTCTTTTGAGTAGTATATTATTTGTTTGTGGAATTCTTTTTCGATTTAGGCCATGTGTAAGTTTAGGTCTTCCAGCTTTTTAACAGGACTCAATGACTTTCCTTTAGAATAAGTTAAAAGTCTGCCATATGGTTAAAACAATGCCAAAATAATGTAAAATGTTAACTTACAAGTAAAAGAATAAAACTGTCTTAACCAAAGGCAACATTACTCTCCTGACAATGGATATATGCTGACTATTACCTATCCATAGTCTATTTTTTATACACCACCTTCATTTGTTTGTTTGTTGTTTAATACTGCACTCAGCAATATTCCAGCTACAGTCAAACACCGTTGTGTCGAAGTTAAAGGGGCCTACCTACATACTTCGAGTTATCCGAGGATTGACACAACCCAAAATGATAAATAAGGAATACACAGGGACAAAGCTTTTACTTTGAGACAAATGTAAGTTCGACACATCAGTGAGTGAGTGAGTTTGATTTTACGCCGCTTTTAGCAAGATTCCAGCAATATCACGGCAGGGGACACCAGAAATGGGCTTCACGCATTGTACCCATGTCGGGAATCGAACCCGGGTCTTCGGCGTGACGAGCGAACACTTTCATTACTAGGCTACCCGACCGCCCCTTCGACACATCAAAGTTCAACACAATGGAGTTTGACTGTATATGACAAGAGCTTGTAAACAATAGCGTCTTGACCAGACAATCAAGTGACAAATAATATGAATATCGATCTGTGATTCAGGAGTACGATGCCATGCAGTCAACCACCCGATCACCACAGAACACACCATCTTCCAGAAAGAACAGTTTACCTGGGTTGCATCTAAAGCCTCCTTCAACACTCCTCCGAACGCGCCATGATTCAGGAATGTGCAGCTTCCCTTTAGGAAATAGTCATATGATAAGTAACAAGCAATCCGACAACAGTTCTCAACAATATTAGCTACTGTTATCATGCAGTAGTAAACATGTCAAGTTCTGCCTATTGCAAAAAAATTTGATGCTCATGTAATATGTACAACAAACACATCCTATACTATAATCTAGAGTAAAACTTCCCCTGGGATAATATTTAGGTAGGATATAATCCTTACTTACAATACCACTTTCAGTGGAAAAGGTGGTATTCATAATTCATAATTCGTAATTGTGTCCCTTTGGCTTGCCAGGATCTGATGATCAGGAGTTTGAATCCCAATTTGCTCTGATCTCATCCTTGGTTCGTCAGCACCCCCTGTTCATGTGTTTTTCCAAATTGGTAAACATCTAAGACCTGCAATACTTTGGGAATACCTCCCACATCAAGCTGTCACGTCGTAATATGACTGAAATACTGTTCAACAGCTTCAAACCCAAGTCAACCACACATTCCTACTTCTCTCCATCTGGGATAACAATCAAACCACATCCTCCAACACATCAACACATTACACCACCACTCCCATCACCACCCAAGTGAGTGAGTGAGTGCGTGAGTGAGATGAGTTTAATTCCTATTTCAATTCATGTTGGTCTAGGATGGGGCATAACCACAGCTTAGAGAAGTGGGGGCCCAGCAGTTATGGGAATTCATAACCTTGAATAATAACCATGACTCAGAGCAAATGGGGCAAATATGTATATACTCACCAACAACAGAAACACAAATACCATATATATAAGTTGGTTAATATATGAAGAAGTACTCATGTTCAAGAGAAACCGGTATTATATAGGTTTCATTCACAAACAAACACACTGCCATGTTGTGTGAACCGACGCTCATGAACCCATCACACGTGACATGATAGATCCATGGCTAGATGCACCATTTGTCTCCTGCAGGATTGTAAAGTGTAAAGCGTTGTAGCGTGTAAAGTTTGGAAATCACGTCCGCATATTGTGATAAGAATAATGACACTCTGTGGTAACACTTGACTGATTGTTAGTTTTGTCATTAATTGGTACCCGCATAAACATTGGAAACATCTTTTCCTAACGTTCATTCTTCTCTATATGTTTCTATGGTTCGGATTTCTTTTGGCGGTGAGTATATATATTTTCTTGAGCGGAACACCACCGGTCATTGCTAATCGTGATTACCTCCAGGAGGAAGTGCTTCTCTCTGGCTTCCTTGCCAAACTGTAACTCGTCCTGCTGGAATAAGAAGGCTGGCGACTTGATGGGAAGCTCTGGCGGACTGTAGTCTTCCTGGGGTCAAACAAGATATACTACACGATATACATTTTCATATGTACAATATACAAGATATACAACATACAAGATCACTGTATATAAGATATACCTTACAAGATACTAGTATACAATATACAAGATATACAATATACAAGAAACACAATGTACAAGATTGTGGTACACAAGATATGCTATACAAGATTTACAATATACAAGATCACTGTATATAAGATACATTATACAAGATACTAGTACACGATATACAACATAGATACACAAAAACGTTGAATACGGATACAATGGAACACATCACATCCTCACCTCGGGGATGTTGATCAGCTCCTGTACATTGGAGGCATGGAAGGAGCCGAAGTCTCGCTTGTTTCTCTGTTCAGTGGGTTCCGACATGACCTCGGGGATGAAAGGTTACTGAAACAATTAATTGAAACATACATCAGTTGGTAATGCTTGAACAAGTGACACTTTTAACTATGTGGCCAGCAAGAATACACGTATATAATGGCAGTCTGTCTGTCATCAAGTCCGGAGCACACACATCAGTGGTTGACTGCATGAATGTGTTTGTTGTTTTACCCAGAGTCTGCATCATTCCAGCTTTATCACACCTGCCTGTCAATAACTGAGGAGATTTTTACAAACTTCTTTAAATTACAAACATAAATACTCAAGTTATTCAGTACACACACTTTTTCATGCCTACCCGGAAGTTCATTCTGTGTGACCTTGACCCTTAATGCCATGCAATTATATCAAAAAATCAAATTTGGGATCCCAATATATTATTTCTATCCTTAAATAAAAATAAATAGTAAAACTATGGACTTTGATAAGATAAGATATACATTTTATTGTACATATGCCCACTTGACTCCAGGCACAGAAACAGATTAAAAAAACTAAACCTACACTGAGAGGGCACGCTGTCGCAGTTCAAACATGCTGGGGATGGATTTAGTAGGAATTAGATAGCAGTGATATTATCGGCATTGAAGATATGGGCTGGGGAAGATAATGCCTATTAGAGAGAGAGATGTTCAGGAGGAAGCGGGGTTCATCTTCATCCTCTCCCAAGTGGTACATATTGAAAACCCAATTACCAGGTACTTTCAATTAATTTGCGTACAGAAACGCATGCATGTAATGGAAAACTCAAATTATAAAAACAGCATGCATAAATACCCAATGAAGCTTTTTGAGCATGCGTACAATGGAGCTTATTTCCGAAACACAATTACAGGCTAATTTACTTTCCGAGTCAAGCCAATAGTTAGAACCCTTAAATACATCTAAAACATTATTATTATTTTTTTCAATCTCAAAATGTTTACTCATTTTGGGAAAAAACCCAATAGATGATAGATGAGTGAAAAAATATTGGTTAATGAATGAAAAATGTAATAACCCAATAAAAATAGAAACCCTTGGTTAAAAACTCAATTGCTCAAAAAGTTATCTGGAGCTGTGGGTACAGCTTACATCATCATAGCTCACTTATAAAAATAGTTGGTTTAAAGATCGCCCTCTCTAAATACCACCAGCTACTGTGCACAGTGACGCACGTTGGTCAGAGCTTGGCGAAGGCTCGTTTCTGACCGAACTAACACAATATTTTATTTGAAATTTATCAGTAATTAATTCTCAGCTTGTGTGTTTTGTCTTTTGCTGTAGATTGAATCATTATTGTAGATGTCAATAAATTTGTTGTGCAATAATTCCGTGAATATATCTGGAATTCATTTATGGCAGTTTTGTCAGTCTGAACACTATCAAAAAGTGTTGTAATTTTATGCAACCATGAGAGTTTTGAGTTGTACCCTTGAAACAACATGTCCCACATCATAGCAGCATCATTAAGGTGTTTCATTCAATGATAATATTGATACATTAGGCCATGCCTTTCTTATTTTTTCGTTTCAAAGGCCCGCTGTTCCTACTGAAAGGTAGTCACTGCCTGTTTGAGGGATCCATTGTCACCCCTAAATATGTGTAGGAGTTCGGACTGGGACGGGTAACTCTGGTACTCGGGTCAGGTGGGTACTGAGAAGGACCCGGATACCCACAGGACTACCCGGACACTAGGTAGGTCACATGATATGTTGTTTTATGACAAAAATTATCTGGAAATGCGAACATTAGTCACTTGTAGTGTAACCATAGATGGTTACACTACAAGTGACTAATGTTCGCATTTCTTTCTGACTATGAACCCATTCCTTCTGAGTTTTACATGTTTGAATAAAGATAAAACTCCAGTGTATGCATGACCAGATTTGTGTATCTAAACATTTTGCCAAGACTACGGTCAATCTATTCCCAATCAGACATTTTGTACCAATCTCTTGAGACCTACAGTGGGTACCCAGGTAGGGTCGGGTAATAACGGGGTGGGTAACCGGGTAGTTAATTTGGACTCATCCCAGCCCTAGTGGGACTAAGAGTCACAAATGTCAATGGTGTTATTGTTTCTGTAGAGCTGATGGACACCTGGTGCCACTGCCTAATACGTCAATCTAAGTTTTGCTGGGGTTAATTTTCAGCTTCCATTCATCCCAGAAGATTGAAAGCTTGTTAATACTATATTTAGCAGACTTTTCGAGAAATGTGATAACAACACAAGATCATCAGCATATAGTTTGTTTGTTATTTGTTTCACACCGCACTCTGCAATATTCCAGCTATATGACGACAGTCTGTGTATAATCAAGTCTGGAACAGGCAATCATGCAGTGACTGATATCCTCAGCATCAAAAACATATATCAACCAAGTCAGCGAGCCTGACCACCCAATATCGTTAGTCCCCTCTTATGACAAGCATAGTCACCTTCACGGCAAGCATTGGTTGCCGGAGACCTATTCTAGTTCGGATCTTCACGGGGCCAGCATATAGTATGTGTGCAGTATCTAGACTGTTTAATTGAGGGTTACATAAAGAACCTTTGGATAGATAATCTTGCAGGTAATTCATATAAATATTGATATATGTGCAGGAGGTCTAGAAGTGTTCATATAATGGGGGTGCCACCCCCACCAAGTTAAGAACTGTTATGGTTCTGTTCTGAGGAACAAAACCTTCCAATTTGCATGCTGGTTTTCTTGGGGGAATTAGTCAGCAAAACGCCGGAGTCACAGGAGACTAATTACAACTTTATTTACAAGAACAAGGAATAATTTACAATATCTTAACTATAGCTGAGGGTGCCACAGAGAGTCAGTACAACCCTCTGGGCTGTGGGAGAGAGGTCGGCTTGGTATGAGCGTCAAACCCCTTCTGCTTAACATCTTGGTTCTGTATGTATTTAACAAAGATTAGAACAATAAAAGGAATATTATTGGTTGATACACGATGGGGTGTGCCCTATGGTTAATGAATGGCTAGACAGAGGGGAATACTTAATCCTGTTAATCCTGTTGGACTGACACTAATCTTGTTGACATATTTACTGGGTGCTTGTAAAGAGATGAAGGTATCACTTATAGACGACCTTGAATTGGGGCTAATCCTTAATGCACTATAGACAAGCTTATCGGCTGAATGTTATTCTAATATAGGTGATGACAGATTTACCTAAATAAAATAGTTCAAGGCAATCTATCAAACTATGTAGACATATCTTTTGTCCTATTCAATATTATATCAGGGAGATGGGAACTTGTAACCTTAGGCTAGTATTTATCTAAAAGCTTTCAATCTATTAAACTATGTAGACATAACTTTTGTCTTATTGAATAGCATGTCTGTCAGATGTGTTTTCCTTACCTTAGGCTAGCATCTATCTAAAAAGCAATAACTGAAACTACTGATATTTTGTATCTGCATTTTACCTTGATTAATGTATTACTTGCTAAACTATAATTATATGAAATTTTGTATAAATGTTACAAAATGATAACTTATAACAGCCATTGCTGTGGATCTAATTATCATATAATGTTATATCATGATAGAACTCTTGAACCATACACACAGTATAGTAGACTGGGATTTTCACATACAATTAATGTTTGTTTAATGCCGCACTCATCAATATTCCCGCTAGAGAGAGAGAGAGAGAGAGGGGGGGGGGGGGGGGGGGGGGGGGGGGTCTGTAAAAATAATACAATCGAGTCTTGACAGGCAATCCAGTGATTGACATAATGAGCATCGATCTACGCAATTGGGTCACGATGACAAGCATCAGCCAAGTAAGTACCGTACAATTTACAAACATGTCACAAAAATAGCCTAAGACGTTTTTTGTGACATTTTGTTGAAAGATACCCTATGCACAGATGCAAACCCGTCCTCGGTCACGTCAGTTTAGCAAAAACTATTTCACCTCATTCTTTTACAAGTCTTCCCCCGAGACAGTTTTGTCCATATGTGACTTTGACTTAATCCAACGAAAACAAATAACCAGTCCCTTAGCCCTGTCAGAACTAGGCGGGCGACATATAGTGAACTAACCAGTAAACAGTAAACAGCAATGTCACAACGTGGGAAAGAACACGTGTTTACTGTTTACAGAGCATGGTGATATGTTTTGTTTACAAAACTTTTCGTACAAAAAGTAAAATACAAAAACTGCTGTGCATTCAATGATGTTATTTGCGAATCTATTTAGTAAATATTTAAATATAGTTTCGTTCAAATAATAGCACCAGTGTCACATTAATGTCAAAAACATATAATTAATACGAATCTAACTAATCATATGTCGCGCAAAGCTAATCCCGGAAGTTGTGCATATCAGCTGTATGGAGGACTCGACCCGTATGGAGGCGGTGCAGCTAAAGTTGCCAAGTGCACCGTTGTTTTTTTCCAACCAGAATTAAAATGCCTTGAGACAGATTAGCGCTCATTGACAGTAAATGTGCGGTCGAGAATTTATCCCTTGAAATGCAAAACTGTCAATTTTTCGCATGAAACGTGGATTCTTTTTTCACTCAAAATGTTCAGTGATGCACGACGTTGAGAGTAATGTTAAATGTTGTTGGCAGTGCTGAACGTGACAGCTGGCCTACTAGATTAGTGATGACCGTTTGACGCTGAGTTGGAAATAACTGGCTCAGGTTTCCAGCGCTGGATTGACTATTGCTAAAAAGAAAAGGTAGCAAATTATTTTTATTTTCATCAATATTCTTTATCTTGCGTAAAAATTCCAACATTCAATGACTGCCAAGCAGCAAAACTGGATCAGTAACATGTATCGAGGGAACATAGTGCGATACTTATAATGTAGTTCGGTGATCTAGATAGACCAGAAGAGATTATAGCTTATAGATAATAGTGTTTGGACCATCACCCATCCACCGACCTTTGACCCAAGCTTTACAGAAATGCAATACTGAAGATGTACCAAGATGCATTGTTTGGGGATTGACATGTCTGTGTGGGTGATATTTTATCCATTCCATATCCAGATCACACATTTCTACATTTACTAAGTCATGATGGGTTTTAATTTACAAACCTGCGTCATCGTAGATGTTTGTAGCTTCCTCTTGCTGAACCTCATTCTCACGCGTTGTTTCAGAATACTGCATGTTCAGTCTTGTGTATAATATCATAATAACCAGTAAGGATGCCTATGTCCAAACAGAATCCCGGAAAAATAGTAAGATTTTTCAAAAGTTAAACATGGCTCATTATGAATACTTTTATTTTCGTGTTCATAGTGATGAATCTATTTTTCGTTAATGTAATGTCATACAGTGAAGAAAGACTCTGTGGAGACTTGACTCAATTCCAAATGATGAGCAAAAAAATGAGCAGGATTAAAACAAGTCATTCAAAACTCACTTTATTCCTTTGCTAACATAAAGTGTATGGTGTATTTATGGGATAGCCATTCGCACTAGCCGGTTAGCAAATGGTTAGCCAGAATCAGTTTGTCTTATGTTAAAGGTATACTAAGAGTTTGTAGAATTTCAGGATTTTTGATGCGTGTCCTTGTGATTATGTATTGTTATCACTATTAAGGCAAATAGACGTTTCAAGTTAATTATTGGTAATTTAATGAAAACCCTAATAATGCACAGACAATATGTCAGATTCACACATGACAACACTGACAGGACATTGGTCATAGGTCACCCTTTGATGTGCATGTTAGGTGAAAAATGCCTGCACAATGAATTAATGATATGTTGTTTCAGAAAATTATGATTGGAGCCGAGTATGCCCAGTTCACCTCCTACATTCCGAGTGAGAACATGGTGTCGGATCCTGACAAGAAGTTCCTGCCGTCCTATCTTCTGCCTACATTTCATGTCCCTCAGCCATGGACAAGCAGGACAAACAGAGCGGGCTTTGAGGAGGATTTCATCATTGTGGCCGAATTTTCAGAAATAGAGGGCCCCAAACCAGTGGTATGTAACCATGGTAACACTATATATTCTACCATGAATTTGAAATTTACACGATTCTGATTAGTCAATCAGAGGCTATTAAATCACAAAAAAAAACCTCTGGTTGAAACAGCTGGTGTGATGGCCGCATCACCACGGAAACTAATATTCATAGAATAGTACTATTTTCAGTCATTGTCGGTAGGCATATTTTAATAATTATATCTACACTTACAGGCTACAAAATGCACAGATGCGGTTACTACAATTTTCAAAGGATGTGTGGCAATACATTTCGTGCAGAAAACATGACAGATATCTACAAAGGGAATGTATTTACGTTTTGGAGACAACAGAGAGCTTAGAATTTTGGCGCGTTTCTATATACGACAGTGACGTCATATCTTTTGCGTCACAATGACCGATATGACGTCATAATGGTGACGTGCGATGTAGAGCGAAAGCCTTGCAAAGCTTGCTTTGTTTTCTTTACGGATGCCCACCTCATGTTAGCTTACCAAGTTGCCGTGCTTATATGCTTCCAATGCCTGTCATATGTTCGAGTGAAGTATTACGGTGTAAACAAACTGCTTGAGTATATACAGCACCATTTTTTTGGTTATTGATCTGAATAAATTTTATCTATCATCTAAGTTGGTGAATGTTATTTCGCCAAGGCAAGATAATAATTTTAAGAAAGTGTTTGCCCTTACTTATAATGAGGATTACAGTGCGTGACCCATTTGTTTGGGTGGTGACCATGGTGATGCTGGTACGAGGGGTGTTCATTAAAGATTTCCCCTAAACCACTTAGGGTTATCATATTTGGTTGAAATTTCACATGTGTAATGATACATGTATCTATGGGTTATGTCTGAATTTGCAGCACCGAACTATTAATCTTACCACTTTTACAGGTGTTATGATCATTTTTGAAGGGAAACATTTCACAGATGATGAAACACTGATTTCTGAAGTCAAGTCCTGATTTGAGACGCAAAATGAGGGCTTTTCCAAGCGAGGTCTCCATAGTTGCATAACACGATGGGAGAAGTGTGTAACTCTTGGTGGTTCCTATGTGGAGAAAGACTAATACCTATGCCAAGTTTCATTCCACTAGGTCCATCGGAAGTGGGTCAGGGGAAATCTTTAATGAACACCCATCGTATGTGTTCAGGTGAAATGTTTTTAGAAGCTGGAAACTTTATTCAAGTATTTTTCAACATAAGGTAAAGAAGGAAGAAATGCATAGTGTGAGATGGGATAATGTATGTATGTATGTATGTATGTATGTATGTATGTATGTATGTATGTATGTATGTATGTATGTATGTATGTATGTATGTATGTATGTATGTATGTATGTATGTATGTAATTTAAATTTACAATACTATCATAGCAAATCTGAAGGACAATCACTGCAAATTCCACCATATGTAATTATGCGAATATATTAGATAATGAATCACAATGTTTTTTTGACAGATGCTGATACCCAAAAACGGTGGAGGAAACTTTGACCAAAACACTTTTTCTGTGAAAATCATGGCGGTTGACCACCAAACGAACTCTGTGTAAGTATCATCATGACCATAGCCATGTACACAGCGGTAGAAACAAACAGTTTCAGTCCACTAGTCCTTATAATGATAGCATATAGCAAAACCTTTAAAAATGTCAAAATTCTACTAGTCCTTACTATACCTTTACTATTGGGCAGTTTGGCAAGGACTACAGGACTAGTGCCAATTTCTAACCCTGGTACACCACTAAAAAGGGAAAATACACCCAAGTGGTTTTGTTTTCAAAGCATTAAATGTTCGGTGCATTCTGCATGGTCGAGGACAATAAGAATAAGATGGATACAAGAAGCAATCTTTCTGGTAGAATTTATTGCCATTTCAAATCGAAGATCATTACTTTTGACAAAAAATAACTGACAAAGAACAGGAATAAGAATACTGGTGATGATTCATTTTGGCTTATCCTGAATTATTAATCTTTATTTTGTTTGAGTTTGAGAGTATCTTGCAATTGTGTGCATATACAAGCAGACGGCACTCTCCTCTCTTTGCTTGTGAAAACAGAAGCAAGTGATAATGGTAAGGTGTGAATAGGGTTTTTGATGTTTTTTATTCACCAGTTAGTCTGTTGAAAAGTTAGTATGACCAGTATTTTTTGTTACTGTCCATCGGAAACTCCGGCATTGACTTGTAATCTCTCTTTCTCTCTCTCTCTTTCAGAGGATTCAGCATTTCCGAGGATACACAGGTTGTTATATCAGAAGACAGGGATGGAGTCTACAGCTTTGTAAGTGTCTTCAACTGGGAGTTGCAAAACATGTTAGAACACTTCAGATGCTCTCAAAAGTTATCATTAGGACAGTTATTGAAAGGATAGAATATTTCATGAAAAACTTACAGACAATCATGGAATGGAATATCTGTCGAGTAAGGTCGAGGGACATGTTCAACGGCCGCATCATACCAAAAGATGTTAAAAGATGGTACTTGTAGTTACCCTGTCTGGCGCTCGGCATTAAGGGGGTAAAACAAGGACTGGTAGGCTCGGAGTCGGTACACTGTGTCTGAGTGGGGTATTCATGTTAAACTGCAGCATGGTATCTCAGTGGGCTAGCACTATGAATAGGCATCAGACTGGACTAGCACAAGCAGCCATATACACATACGTGCATGCAAGTCACTATATAAATGCAATAATATTGGACGCAACGTTAAACCCAATTTCACCTCACCTCACATGTTTAACCTCCATTCACAAAGAACAGATAATAAACGATGGACAATATGCAAGAATGAATAATTCGTAATTCTTAGTGAAATTTATCATTATCGAAAACTATATGCCCCTATATCTTTTACCTGGTGGTAATATACATGACAAGGGACATCTTCATCATTTTCTTGTTGCAGGCAGATAACCCATATAAAATGACCAACATTCTCAGTGAAATTTATTGAAAATTATTTGGCCCAATTTTAACCATTGGGTAAACATGGTAATATATATCATATTCAATAATGATGTTTTTATATGTCTTTCTTACAATTACTTGCGAATATGACATTTAAACGACATGTTTAAGGTTTACTAGGTTTATGCAGTTTAATTTTCCTTTTGTTTCAGGTTCACCATTTTGTATTGTATGACAATGAAGCTCGTGGCTTTGTACGTCCTTTCTGTATGGCCTATGTCACCAGTGAGAGAAGGTAGCGTCTCCCCAAAACAGTTCCATTTATCTCTGATACTCCTTTACCATACCTCTTGGCATGAAGATCAGACAACCCATCTAAGTTTCATCATGTGAATCCTGAGCGAAGTTTGACTGGCCTTTCTCAATAAAGGATGTTAACATTCATCAGTCAATCAGATGAAATTAGCTTAATTAATTTTCCACATCAGTTTTGAAATTTTAATTTTAACAAAAGAACACCAAGACAGAACAGAGATAATTCTTCAATGGTACCCTCTTTGGGGTTTAGCTGCCAAAGCGCTCAGAAATGCAGGGTGTGTAAAATATCAACAACAATACAATGCTATGGACTTTATTACACAATGTATTACATTTGGAACTGTCCGTTTAACTTTAATTTTCAGTATACAGAAAGCAGAAGTGCTTGTCTGAATGCTTCTTGTACTCGTACCTAGAATTTAGAAACCTCCATGCTCAATCGCCAATTAGAAAGCTCACCTGACATGACTGCCTATGGATGGTTTGTTAGATCATCATGCACAGGGATATCATATCGGAGTAAAAGATCTAATTTTTATGAGATTGCCTCAAACGTTTACACTTATAATTGGCCCAATTCCATTCAAATCATAGAACGATTACATTGTTGTGCATTCAAGCATAGTAACAACCCAAAATCTAAATGCTTGGAGGAGTCTGTTACTAAATATTGCCAGATGCTGAAGTAAGCATATATTATGACATCTTTATTGACAGAAAATTTGCATTCACTGCCTTTAAAAATACAAATCTTCACAGGTATCAAGTTTGTGATTTTGTTTCTGTTTATTGCCGTGATATCAAAAGCTAAACATTGCAATGGTTTACTCATGGACAAGGGGAGATAATGTTGTGTTTTCAATGCTTTTTTGTGTGTGCATTACCTCCCTTTACAGCTTGTTATGTCAAGAGAACAGACAAGAAATATCAGAAAGGCATGGCATCTACTGATTGTATGTAACAAGGGAAGGTCCCAGATTAAAATATATTCCTTCATATATCATTTTTCACATTGATGGGTGAAACCTCTACTCTGCTGAATATTAGGCACTTTATTTATCCTTTTAATCCATCGATTTCAGGAAAATTATGACTTTCTATGAAGAGCTTTCGGCACAGTTCAGAAAGGTGAGAGTCATGTTTTATATTTTTCACGTGATAGTACCTGGGTAGTCATGGTAGTTAAAGTTTCTTCCCCCTTGCAAGTCACTAAGGCTTCAAAAAAATAAAAGAAATGGTTCTCAGGCAATGGCTTTTGCAAAAAAAGTATGGGCTGGCTGACTTTTTTTTGGTTGTTCAAACTAGTATGTAACCTAATAAACAGTTGTGTACAATCAACCTGGGAAAGGGCCTCCCTACATAAATGTATTCCTTGATATTTTGTTTGTTTGTTGTTTAATGCCGCACTCGGCAATATTCCATCTGTATGACGTCGGTCTGTAAATAATAAAAACCAGACAATCCAGTGATTGGCATCCTCAGCGTCAATCCACACAATTGGGATACGATGACATGCATCAACCTTGTCAGCGAGCCTGACCACCCGATCCCGTTAGTCGCCTCTTGCGACAAGCATAGTTGTCTTTTATGGCAAGCATGGGTTGCAGAAGACCTACCGTGAATCTTCATGTGTGGACTACCAGTGTGTGTATAATATACACATACAATGAACTTATGATTTGATTTTACAATGTGAAACCTTATCTTGAGCACCTAACACCGGAAGACGCATGATAACACTGTCTGGCTATAAAAGTGTTTATTGTGTATCTGGACTTACGTTTGTAATCTATTGTGTTACCTTTCTCCAAGATTTCATTCATTTCTGTTTACATTAATTTTGGTGAAATCTTGTATGATCTGATCTGCAAATCACATCAACTCATCGTGAACTCACCTTGAAAGGAACATTAGTTGTAAGAGATACAGTCTTCGGTATTCCTATCAATTCCTATGAAATTTCTTTCCATGTTTGATATTGGCCATGACATTTTTTTAACTAAATGAAAAACTAAAACTAAATCACCCATAGACCTGATAGATCGGGGAGAAAATGTCTGAACAGCTGATTGCTATTTTAGTCTTATTTTGCGAGACATAGTCACCATATACACCATAACACAAGATACGCAGTAAAGCAGTGCGCATGTAAAGGGAGGTAACTGCATGTTCTATTGATCTTGGTACTAAGATGGTTGTAGCTCCCTTACATTAACAGTTGTTTGAGGTAGGGCTGAGACGAGTCCAAATTTACTGCCCGGGTACCCACACCCCTAATACCCGACCCTACCCGGGTACCCGCTGTCTGATTGTGAATGACAGTAGCCCTGGCGAACTGTATTTAGATACACATATGAAACAATCTGGTCATGCATACACCGAAGTTGACTGAAGTTTAATCTTTGTTAAAAAATGTTTAAGTCAGAAGGAATGCGTTCATAGTCATGAAGAAATGCGAACATTTGACTTAAACATGTTGTGTAACCATGTAGTTATATTGTTTCATGACAAAAATTCAATGTATCACGTGACTAACAATGGGTCCGGGTAGTCCTGTAGGCACCCGGGTCCTACTCAGTACCCACCCGATCCAAGTAGCCGAGTTACCCGTCCTAGTCCTAGTTTGAGGCGCCGCTCTTCACTGTGCAGAGTTGCGTCCCTTGGGCATGCCAGGAACCTATGATTGCGTGTTTGATTCCCGGCTCTCCCCAGTTGTTTCTAGGTTTGTCAGCACCCTACTCGTGCTTGTGGGTTTCACCAAAGTGGTAAACATCAGATACCTGAATCACTTCTGGCTTTAACACCATAATATAACTGGAATATTGTTCAAAGTGGTGTTAAACCAAACTCACTCACTTTCTTGCCGCAATGGATGTTATATTTTACCGGGATTTATCAACTAAATGCCCTAGGCAGGCATATTTTAGAGAAAAGTGTGTGATTTTGTCAATATTGAATTGTTTTACTGTTTATATTTTTGTAAAATTCTGAGGAAATGGGGATTTATTGTGTTTTAAATTGGAATTATTTACTGTAATTTGCTGCGTGGGGCAAAATATCGGCCTCTGAGCAGTTCCAGATTAATCCCTGTTTCAACAAATGAACCTGCATATTTTGATCACTGCAGCCTATGGACTAGTCACGGTTAAGGCCACATACTGGTAGCATTACATAGTACTACACTGTATTCTCAATTGTAGGTAGCTCGCTTTCTGAAGTACGGAAATAGAATGGTCTTTGTCCGTGACCTTGACCGATACCTCAGTGACCTGGATTTTACAAAAGGTAATGTTGTGTATTTATCCTTTAAATTATGATTGTTAAATATGATGTAGCTTGATAAAGAACCTTGTACTTGTTGTATGTTACATGATAAAGAAAATCCTATGTACCTTGATAAAGGACCTTGTACATGTTGTATGTTCCCTGATAAAGAAAATCCTATGTACCTTGATAAAGGACCTTGTACATGTTGTATGTTCCCTGATAAAGAACATCCTATGTACCTTGATAAAGAACATCCTATGTACCTTGATAAAGAACATCCTATGTACCTTGATAAAGGACCTTGTACATGTTGTATGTTCCCTGATAAAGAACATCCTATGTACCTTGATAAAGAACATCCTATGTACCTTGATAAAGAACATCCTAAGTACCTTGATAAAGGACCTTGTATGTACCATGATAAAGGACCTTGTATGTACCATGATAAAGGACTTTCTGTATGTGTCATGATAAAGTTTGTTGGTTTGTTGTTTATTGTTGCACATAACAATATTCCAGCTATATGATGACGGTATGTAAATTATTGAGCCTGGACCCGACAATCCAGTGGTTGACATCATGAGCATCAATCCACGCAATTGGAATACGATGACATGCTTCAGCCAAGTAATTGAGCCTGACCACCCACCCTATCCTGTTAGTCACCTCATACGACAACCATACTCGTCTTTCACAGCAAGCATGGGTTGCTGAAGACCTATTCCACCCCAGGTCTTCACGGGTACATACATGGTACTGTATATCTTTTGCATTGATAATGAATGTATGAGATCATCCTTTGTACAGGGCAGTTGAGGATGAAGAAAATACCACATCCAGAATCTGAGTCTGGGGAGGAAGAGAGGCGTCATGCAGAGGAAGAAACGTACCGAGACCTACAGAACATTCGAGCGTCAATGGACGAGGTGAAGGAAATCCTCACAACGCTCCGGCCCCTACTGGTGAGAAAGTTGTTTGTTTTTCAAATACTACTGTAAAGTAAAAGATGGACCATAAGTACTATAGCTACCATTTTTGTCTTACAAGTGCCACCTGGGGGCACAGGTGGCCCAGGCGTCTAAGGCGCCGCGATTTGCTGTGCTGAGTTGCGTCCCATGGGCACGCCAGAAACCTATGATTGTGGGTTCTAATCCCATTTTGCCCCGGTTATGTTTCTAGGTTTGTCAGCACCATACCCGTGCTCGTAGGTTTAACCGTCTAAGATCTCATCACTTCGGACTTTCCACCCACGTTAAGCTGACACGCCGCGATATAACTGGAATACTGTTAAAAGCGCATTAAACCCAACTCACTCACTCACTCACACAAGTGCCACCTCCTCCTTGTTTTACCTAGTTTATTCTTTATGCTTCATTTCAATAAAGAAATCATCCAAACTAAAAGCAGGAATGAATAATCAACATGTTATGTCCAAAAAGAACACTTGTCTTATTGTTTCGAACATGCTGACATCATTTTCATTGTCATTGTCAAATCTTTTAACTTTCATTTGATCATTTTTAACTGACCAATTTTTTGTTTGTGGCCTTTGTTCCCTTGCCTCGACCTGCTATGGCTAATTGTGAGAGGGACACATTCTGTGATTCTATAACATTCATGGTACGACAGTGCTGCAGCCATACTAGCAGCCTGCAGGAATCAAGCCAAACATACCAACATTATTTCAGAAACAAAGCGCCAACTGTAAGAATTGTGGATGTGTGTTTTCACAGCACACTGTAGCTGTCTCCAGAGCAATGTTTGACAGTTTATCCAAATGCCAGAAATGTTTACTCCTAACACCACACTCAATACAGTCAATGTATGGAGCTTCCCATTTCAATGAGAATAACACCAGGGGTATTGTGATACTCTTTACACCACACTCAATACAGCCTATGTATGGAGCTTCCCATCACAATAAGAATAACACCAGGGGTATTGTGATACATGTACTCCTAACACCACACTCAATACAGTCGATGTATGGAGCTTCCCATCACAATGGGAATAACACCAGGGGTATTGTGATACTCCTTACACCACACTCAATACAGTCTATGAATGGAGCTTCCCATCACAATGAGAATAACACCAGGGGTATTGTGATACATGTACTCCTAACACCACACTCAATACAGTCTATGTATGGAGCTTCCCATCACAATGAGAATAACATCAGGGGTATTGTGATACATGTACTCCTAACACCACACTCAATGCAGTCGATGTATGGAGCTTCCCATCATAAAGGGAATAACACCAGGGGTATTGTGATACTCCTTACACCACATTCAATACATCGATGTATGGATAACACCAGGGGTACATGATACATGATACATGATACATGATACTTGTACTCCTTACACCACACTCAGTACAGTCGATGTAGGGAGCTAATGTTTGCAGTTTCTCTTGTGAAACAGTCATAATGTGAATATCAGACATTGACCTCCCACATTTTGTCACAGTTTCAGCTCATTACACACCCATTTCAAACAAACAATGGCTGCAGCACTTGTGACAGCATGAGCTAGTCTTTCCTCACAGATTGCATATAAACCCCTTGCTGTCTTACTAGCTCTTGCAAAAATTTGCTTTAGCTAATAATGCATCTATTTCAGCATTTAAATGTGTCAGAAAATCAAAGCAGACAATATTACATACCCTCTATCTTTGTCCAGCATGCCTATATTGTTTGTCTTCTTGCTGAGAATTAATGTATCTTGTGCGTATATTTCATTGCAGAATGGTTCACCTTACCGAGTTAGTACACGCTCTTTATGTGTCTGTCTAACAACAAGTATAATCTTCTATTATTCTATATTCAGTCAGGGGTTAAAAATTAACTTTGTCAATGTTTAGATTTTGTCATCAATATATTGCCCATTCACATTATCATTTAAATTTCAAATTTGATGTTGACTTCCATACATCGATAACTTTTTAACCCCTGATTCTGTCATAACCATACATGTCCTAAAGAACAAAAGTACATTCTACCATGACAGTTTAGAATCCTGCATTCTGATTGGTCTCCCAGCTTTATCACAATTACTAGAACGACCATGATTTTGCTGACAAGTGCATTTCTGCCAAAGAAGATATTTATTTAGATTTTTTTTTTTTCGAGAACCTGCATCCAAGGCAATTTCAAATACTGATCTTTCTTCATAATTATAATGTGTTTTGATTCCTAGACTAATGTGAGTGGTTCAATATTATTAGTCGGAAAGTTCAATGAACAACGACTGAGTATATTCTCAAATTCAGTAACATATCACAGCTTGGCAGCAATAACTAGATGCCACATTATTCATTACTTTCTGTTATTACAAAAGTTTTGATGTCATTTTGCTTTTTGAGGTAAATGTTATTTAGGTAAATGTTCGGTTCCAAATAAAATTTACAGGTGTTGCACAAGGAGATGCGTCAAGCTTGTTTTGAAATTTGCAGTCATCTCACTGTAGAATCAATACCTATTAGTTTTTGTTTGGAATCAAACACTTAATCATTAAATGTTATCATTAAACAGTCTGGGTTTGATCTAGGACGTTATAATTGTTGCCAAAAACATCCTATAATGTTCCGATATCATGCATATAGTTCTTCTGATGGGTTAACATTTATGGATTGATATGGAAGCTATCAAGGTCTTTATATGCACTCTTTTGTGTGAAAAGGTTTAATTCAGAAGTATGAAATGGAAATTTGATACCTTATTTTAACCAATCAGAATCAAGCATTCAATGTCATGGTAGAATTACCTTGATTATAATTTGAAACCTCTAAAATGAAAAGTTTCCCAAGTGTATTCAACTTCATTTTCTCTGCAACGTTCCTTGAGTTAATCCTTCAAAATGTTCTCTCTGTTCACATGATACGCTCGTATCATGATCATCTCCATATGCATGTTGCCTAGCAACCCTGCCTTTTCATACCTGCACAATAATTCTACCAAAATGAAAATACAATTTGCACAATAAGCTTTCATGAACAATGATGAAATCTACAGGTATTATGTACATGATGTATTGCGTGTCCTCCTCCATCCTTGTGTTACATGTATGCATTGGAAACTCCGTATCTAAATTATCATTTTCTCAGAATTCATGATTTCATGTCTTTAAGGGTAGTGATTATCGTTATGTTTACAGTTTAACTTTTTAATGACCCCCAGTTTGGATCTTAGTGTTAAAACAATTCAATGTTGTTACAGACAAATAGAGGATTCTGCTGGATCCAGTGTTTGAAATAAGTTTAATACCCAACAAGACAGTCGGGCAGGTGACCGATAAGTGTTGCCTGCTCATCTTCAAAGCTACCTGCCCACCTTAAGACATTATATTTATTGAAAACTCGCAAAAACAAAAAGTAAGCGACAAATCTTGTCTTGATTCATTTAAAATAATGCAAACACTTACTTGGGAATCTACAAGGAACTATATTAAAACTGTAGTCTTAAAATGATCTGATGGACAGTCAGAGGAAAATTTCAAGTTACCAGCCACGGTAGGGGTGGTCCGGCAGTTATTTCGGACACTTGCAGGCGGTCAGGCAGTTATTTCGGACACTGGCAGGTGGCAGGTGGTCAGGCAGTTATTTCGGACACTGGCAGGTGGTCAGGCAGTTATTTCGGACACTGGCAGGTGGTCAGGCAGTTATTTCGGACACTGGCAGGTGGCAGGTGGTCAGGCAGTTATTTCAGACACTTGCAGGTGGTCAGACAGTTATTTCAGACACTTGCAGGTGGTCAGACAGTTATTTCAGACACTTGCAGGTGGTCAGACAGTTATTTCGGACACTGACAGGTGGTCAGACAGTTATTTCGGACACTGGCAGGTGGTCAGGCAGTTATTTCGGACACTGGCAGGTGGTCGGGCAGTTATTTCGGAAACTGGCAGGCGGTCGGGCAGTTATTTAGGACACTGGCAGGTGGTCAGGCAGTTATTTCGGACACTGGCAGGCGGTCAGGCAGTTATTTCGGACACTGGCAGGCCGTCAGGCAGTTATTTCGGACACTGGCAGGTGGTCAGACAGTTAATTCGGGCACTGGCAGGCGGTCAGGCAGTTATTTCGGACACTGGTAGGAGGTCAGGCAGTTATTTAGGACACTGGCAGGCGGTCAGGCAGTTATTTGGGACACTGGCAGGCGGTCAGACAGTTATTTGGGACACTGGCAGGCGGTCAGACAGTTATTTTGGACACTGGCAGGTGGTCAGGCAGTTATTTAGGACACTGGCAGGTGGTCAGGCAGTTATTTCGGACACTGGCAGGCGGTCAGGCAGTTATTTAGGACATTGGCAGGCGGTCAGGCAGTTATTTTGGACACTGGCAGGCGGTCAGGCAGTTATTTCGGACACTGGCAGGCGGTCAGACAGTTATTTCGGACACTGGCAGGCGGTCAGGCAGTTATTTCGGACACTGGCAGGTGGTCAGGCAGTTATTTCGGACACTGGCAGGCGGTCAGGCAGTTATTTAGGACACTGGCAGGCGGTCAGGCAGTTATTTCTGACACTGGCAGGCAGTCAGGCAGTTATTTCGGACACTGGCAGGCGGTCAGGCAGTTATTTTGGACACTGGCAGGCGGTCAGGCAGTTATTTCGGACACTGGCAGGTGGTCAGACAGTTATTTCGGACACTGGCAGGCGGTCAGACAGTTATTTCGGACACTGGCAGGCGGTCAGGCAGTTATTTCGGACACTGGCAGGTGGTCAGGCAGTTATTTCGGACACTGGCAGAATCCCAGTACCTCATGCTTGTCATCAGGGCTAACGAATGGTTAGGTTTGATTTCTGTTTAACCCCTCACTCAGCAATAATCAAGCTCAATGATGGTGGCCTGTAAGTAATAAGTCTAGACCAGACAATCCAGTGACTGATATTGTGAGCAACAACTCACAACCAAATCGCCGAACCTGATGACCTGATCCAGTTTGTTGTCTCTTTAGGTTGCTAGGGACATGTCCTATCTTGGAATCATGAATGTGTTTAGGATAAGTTGGTTACAGTGTGTGACTTCTTTGTCACCTCCCTGAATACTGCATCTTCCCGAGGCAAGGTATTTAACTGACTATAAAAGTATAGTTTCCACCCTTGCTGAACTAGGCTGGAATTTCCAGGCTCAATCGTAGCACCACCAGTGGCTTTTACGAGTTATCTCCCTACTATGTCTCCTCCTCATGACCAATCAGATTCCATCTCTCATCCCTTGCATTTGCTTCAAACTAAATGGCGGCGCCCACTCAAGACGATCTGATCGATTATCAAGAACTATATTGTAATAAAACAGTTCTTACGCTGCAAAGTGCATCAATTCACTTGAGCACCTTGATTAAAAACATGAAACAATTTGCAACATATCTCTTGAAGCCCATTTGGCGGTACACATGCTTTGCAAAGTCTGTAGTTGACCGAAATTTGGCGATTTTGATTGGACTATACATAAACTCGTTATTCCAGCCAAAATGTAACTCTAGAATTCCAGCCTAGTTCGGCAAGGGTGGAAAGTGGACTTTTATAGTCAGTTAACTCCCTTGCCTAGGGAAGATGCAAATACTGCAGTGTAAGGCTACTTTCACTCACTCACTCCCTCCCAAGGGGCAAGATTTACTCACAGCATATGACTACAACTGACTCTCAGTGTGATTATGGTGATGCTCATTTCTCTGATGTGATTGCCGACAGCAGGTTTGACAAATATGCTGGACCACAAATACCAGTCATTTTCAGGAATAGTACATTTTTATGATCTTACTGCCTAGGGGAATATATCAAAATAGATATCTGTCTCCATATTTTATGAAACTTTTCACTTCAGTCACCAGCGTCAGCTATGAATCTTCGAACATGACAACTATTGCAGGAAGTGACAATGTGTTGGTTGCAAAGTTCTGTAACAGTTGTCAATATGTGTTAATACTGATGTGTCTGTTTGATAATCATGATAATGGATATGGTAATTATTTTGGAATAACATCCAAAGGTTTATTCAAGATAACACTGCATTTTTTTCTAATGCACTTTGTTTGTTACACACTGTGTGTGTATGTGTGTGTTTGTTACATACTGTGTGTGTTGTGTGTTTCGGGTGAAGGTTAGAATAGAAATAGCTAGATGTGTGATATATATAAATGAATGTTTTACCTAGAAATATGTTTGTCTGACCCCTCTGAGTTGAAAGATATGTGAAGGTTCGAAGTCAAAGACTTGTCAAGTGAAACCATTTATTCATGTTAATTCTGTCCATGGACATCATCTCTAAATGTGATGTCATATAAATGAATAATCATCTGTAAATGTGATATGCAGAATGGACCCTTGAAGATCCGGGGTAGAATAGCAACCCATGCATGCTGTACAAGGCGACTAACAGGATCGGGTGGTCAGACTCGCTGACTTGGTTGATGCATGTCATTGTATCCCGATTGCGTGGATCGATGCTCATAATGTCTATAACTGGACTGTCTGGTCTAGACTCGATTATATACAGATCTCCGTCATATAGCTGGAATATTACTGAGTGCGGCGTTAAACAACAAACAAACAAACAAACGAACAGTAAATTTCGGCATCTTCTTAACTATGTTTGATAGTTTTTCTGTTCAAATTTTGTCAGAATGTCGTTTGTTTATTGCAGAATGACCGCCGAGTTGAATGTCGGTTTCAAACACTGGAAGACCGTGCTTATCACCAGAAGTTAAAAGCTGAGACAACCAATGTGGACACACTAAGTTTGGAGGAGAACTTCTTCTCGGAGGGAAAAGCCAGTGCTACTTTCAGATGTAAGCATGTGACTTTAAAGACTCATTATCAATTTGGACTAGGTGTCACATGATGGTCCTTGTAAACACATTGTCCGTGATTGAAATTCAAGGTTGCAACTGATCCCCAGCAGGGACATGGGTGGTCCGGTCGTCTAAGACGCTGCATTCCGCTGTGCAGAGTTGTGTCCCTTGGGAACCACTTCAGGCTTCCCTCCCACATAGAACTTAGACGCGGCGATATCAGTGGAATACTGTTCAAAGCGGCGTTAAGCACTCACTCACTCACTCACCATGGTCAGATTTGGTGATTGCCTGTCTTTGTGTGGCAATATTCCATCAAGATCATGTTTGAAATATCAGAAATGGGCTTCACTTATCAAATCAGGCCTACATCGTGACAAGTGTGAGCATTAACTACTGTGCCACAGTCTGTCAGTGTCTAGGGTTTGGGTCTCACCCCATACAGGTTCTGAAATATGTGGTGTCTCATTAGGCAAGTGGCTTTGTTACAAATTTGACTTTGTTAACATTCTAGTGCCTAACAAACTGCTTTTGGTGTATCCTTCTCAGGGAGCTGAGAATGCAGTTTGATTTCACAATGGTCTGATGATAGGGCTGTTAAAATGTCTTGCACTTCAAGCAGCTTTGGATGTATAATTCTCAGGGAGCTGAGAATGCAGTTTGATTGCACAATGATCTGATGATAGGGCTGTTAAAATGTCATGCACTTCAAGCAGCTTGGTGTGTATACTTCTCAGGGAGCTGAGAATGCAGTTAGATTGTACAATGGTCTGATGATAGGGCTGTTAATGTCATACACTTCAAGCATGACCTATTGAGCAAGCCATTCTCAGTAACCATGGTAGCGGTGCAGGCCAATCTGTTCACAGATTTTTTAATCATTTGTTTCAAGGTGGATCCTTCAATGGTGCAGCAGACACGACGTTGTCATTATTCCAGGGGCACCGCACCTACACTGTAAGTAGCTTAGAAATAATCTCCTGGGTGCTGTTGTACAACGCAATCTTAGCGCTAAGGTGAATGTAACTCCCATACCTTATAACAGACTTACGACAGTCGTAGTGCTAAGGTTGTTTTGTACAGCGGCACCCTGGTTCACAGACACTCACATGGATTTAATACAACAACAGATAATGTTATCACACACAGGTGTAGGTTGACAATCAAAAGGAAATACAGTCAAGTGTTTATTTAAAGCATTAATTGTTTATTGTAAAGCAAGTTTATTTCTACAGCGGTTGTAATATGCAGCTATCAGGCGATTCGTCTTGCATCAAAACACTGGCTGTGAACTCGCAGGCAGATGACCACTGTGTCGGATTAACGAGACTGATTAATGAGTGATTTCGGTAATTCGTTGCAAATTAGGTGTGTCGTAGTCGGAGTGCGAGACTGTCCGATTAACAGGTCTAAATAGCACTGATTTAATCAGTTCCCATCATTAGTGTCGGATAAAGCCGATTGTTGGATTAATGAGACTTGACTGTACAATGGGTCAAGTAAATGGTAGTAGCAGTAAGTAATAAGCCCTATTATTTATGATTGTGAACTCACAAGTGTCCAGAATTTTGTCATTGTTGAATGACTTGAAAAAGGCCTGTCTCTTTTCTTGAATCAAGAATAGTGATGGCAGCTGGCAGGAAATCAGAGTTTCCAAATAGTTACAGTCCACATTTAGCAAGTAGATTAGAAACAAGTCTAGAATCGCCCTTTTGTCACTTGTACATTAGTACCGTCAGCATTATAGAAACTAGAAACTAGAAACTTCCAGAATAATCAAGCCTGCCATGTGCTGTGTTAAGGATAAAACCTGGCTCCTGGTTGAAAATATAAAAGCCTCAAGAAGAGGAAAACCCAAGCTTTTCATGAGTTCAAGATTTTACTATTTCCAGTCCAGCATGGTGGAGTAACAAGCTGTCTGTCAGCTCTGACTTCGGACGAAAAGCCTTGTCACCGCACACAACATCATGCCCACCTTATATGGAGCAGCCTGAATACTTTAGTGCAAGGTTTCAAGTGTATAAATATGAGGTTTCAAATCGGCAGTTAGACTACCTCGTATTTCAGACCATTGTAGGTTTATATCCATTCCGCCATGACGACAAGAGCACTTTGAAAACCCGTACCCGTCCCAGCCCTACTCTCTAGGAACACATACTTACACATGGGCAAATAGGTCAGTGATCTTAGAACATTCCTAAAAGGGGACACAGGTCATGACAAACGTAAAAAATAGTACTCAAGGTCAAGATTACTCAATTACATTCTTGATTATTTCAAAATATTGGTTACAAAATACATCATTTTTAAAAAAAATGATTTACGTCTGTGAAGTTGCACTCCATGACTTCTGCTTACTGAGGTTAAACATTGATTATAGCCGAAGATTGTTCCTCCGAACAGAAGAAAGAAGTTTGACAGCGCACTGAGGGGTCTCCATGAGTTGTGTTCCTGGGGAGCGAAGGAGGGGCTGAAGAAACTCAGATGCATCCAGGAGGTAATAAAACTCCAAGAGTACTTTCTGTTAATTCCATGCACTATTTGCATAAAAATGGTATGCAGTTTGGTGAATTTTTTTCAATATAAACAAAATGCACATTTTTACAATTTTTACTTTTTGAATCATGTAATGAAAAATGAATCGGGGTCTGGCTCTGTTGGTTGTGTGTGTGTGTGTTAGATTATCAGTGATAGACCACTGACACTGATGTTGAACAACCTGTTCACAGACACATAAAATGAGGACAAGTCTTTGGCCTATTGGCACTCCCAGCAAATTACCTAGTCTTTCAAACACACTGCCTACTTCAACGTTATTTTATAAATGATTACCCAAGTAGGTCCTTGTGTTTTTATGTAACCCCTGGAGACCTGGATTTAAATAGGTCCTCAGCATTCTAGTGTTTGTAGGGAGAGGCTACTGAGTTGGATCTGGTGGTCTGAAATTCAGGTGGTTTTTTTATCCCCCTGGTTTGAAAAGGGGGTATATAGCGATCAGCATGTCCATCCTTCCGTCTGCCGTCCATTTTCCATTTCCAGAGCAGAACTCCAAACCCGTTGAATAATTCTAGATGAAACTGGTGCCTTCGGATGATTTCAGATTTTTAAAATATTTCTTTGTTGTTTTCATGACGACACGTTGGACTTATACTTAAAATGAGGGTAGTGCTTGTTTCCTGAGCAGAACTCCCAAACCGTTGAATATTTCTAGATGAAACTTGCTATGCAGATCAGTCTAGTGGAGAACTGGTACCTTAGGTGATTTGGAATATTGAAAAATACTGAGAAGCATAATTTTATTCTACGCTGAACTGAAGGTCTCCAATGGCGTTGAACCAAAAGTGGGGTATAAGTAGCCAAACTCCATTTCCGAGTCATCTCCTGATGACTCTTGTATAAGATTAGTCCAGAGGGCTAGTGGAAGCCTGATCTCGCTGGTCCTCAGAGTTTGTAGCTAGTCCTACTTGAATCATCTTCCCGAGGCAAGAGAGTTAACTGACTTTAAAAGCCCAGTTTCCACCCTTTCCGAACTAGACTGGTATTATGGAGTTACATTTTGGCTGGACTAACAAGTCTATGTATAGTCCAATCAAAATGAAATCGAAATCTGGTTCGTAAACTGAAATGCAGATTTTGGTCGATTGCAGGGTTTGCAAAGCATGTGCACCGCCAACTCGTTGTCAACAGATATTTTCCAAATCTTTTCATGTTTTTAATCAATGTGCTCACCTGATTTGATGAGCTTGAGAAATATATGAGCAGTCAGTTCTCTTGCTCTTTCAGCACTATAAAAGAGAGACAATGGTTTTAGAACTGGAGAGAAGCGAATCCAACCTTCTAGGTGAGTGTTACCATGGAAACAAAGTCCCACTGGCCATTAACTTGCCTTGACATCATATACTTCCATGACAAATGAACAAACTGGTTATCCATGTTACCAGAGTGAAGTGAAAATTTAACACAAAACGTGTTTGTTCTGATAAATATTGTCATGATTATTTTTAAACCTTAGGTATTATATTATGATGTAGTGTTATAATGAATTTAGTCTTCATGTCACAGAGCCTTATACCAACATTTCCTTATTGATGACTGTAGTTCCTGAGTTTGCCTTCTATGAAGAGTAAGACATTGCATGCCCTGTGTCCGAGGACCAGATTCTAAGGGGAAACAACTCTGTCTGTACTGTTTCAGATCCACCTGGCTCACTGATGACCTGTGGACGATGTGTGACCTCCAACTTTCTAACAGGGATCTCCATGTAAGTCTACAGAAGTATATCTGCCATACATCTGACCTCAACCAAAGCTGTCACACAATCTGACCGACCTCAATCAGATGTCGAGAGTTTCCACCTCTACCATTGTCAAGAGATCTGTACCTCAGCCATAGACATCACAGGTCTGACTCCTGCCATTGATGTCAATTGATCTGTACCTCAACCCACTGTCGAGGGATCCGACCTATCAGCCCTAGATGTCGATCTGACCTATCAGTCCTAGATGTCGGAGGACCTGACCTATCAACCTTAGGTGTCGGGGATTCTGACCTATCAGCCCTAGATGTCGGAGGACCTGACCTATCAACCTTAGGTGTCGGGGATTCTGGCCTATCAGCCCTAGATGTCGGAGGACCTGACTTATCAACCTTAGATGTCGGGGATTCTGACCTATCAGCCCTAGATGTCGGGGGATCTGACCTATCAGCCCTAGATGTCGGAAGATCCGACCTATCAGCCCTAGATGTCGGGGGATCTGACCTATCAGACCCTTGATGTCGGGGGATCCGACCTATCAGCCCTAGATGTCAAGGGATCTGACCTATCATCCCTAGATGTCCGGGGATCTGACCTATCAGCCCTAGATGTCGGGGATCCGACCTTTCAGCCCTAGATGTCGAGGGATCTGACCTATCAGACCCTTGATGTCGGGGGATCAGACCTATCAGTCCTAGATGTCGATCAGACCTATCAGTCCTAGATGTCTGAGGACCTGACCTATCAACCTTAGGTGTCGGGGATTCTGACCTATCAGCCCTAGATGTCGGAGGACCTGACCTATCAGCCCTAGATGTCAGGGCATCCGACCTATCAGACCCTTGATGTCAGGGCATCCGACCTATCAGCCCTAGATGTCAAAGGTTCTGACCTGTCAGCCCTAGATGTCAAAGGTTCCGACCTGTCAGCCCAAGATGTCGGTGAATCCGACCTATCAGTCCCAGATGTCGGGGGATCCTACCTATCATCCCTATATGTCGGGGGATCCTACCTATTGTCCCTAGATGACGGGGGATCCAACCTATCAGCCCAAGATGTCGGGGGATCTGACCTATCAGACCCTTGATGTCGGGGGATCCGACCTATCAGCCCCAGATGTCGGGGGATCGGACCTATCAGCCCTAGATGTCGAGGGATCCGACCTATCAGCCCTAGATGTCAGAGGACCTGACCTATCAACCTTAGATGTTGGGGGATCTGACCTATCAACCCTAGATGTCGGAAGATCCGACCTATCAGACCTAGTTGTCGGGGGATCTGACCTATCCACCCAAGATGTCGGGGGATCCGACCTATCAGCCCTAGATGTCAAGGGATCTGACCTATCATCCCTAGATGTTGGGGGATCGGACCTATCAGCCCTAGATGTCGGGGGATCCGACCTATCAGCCCTAGATGTCCGAGGACCTGACCTATCAACCTTAGATGTTGGGGGATCTGACCTATCATCCCTAGATGTGCAGGGATCGAACCTATCATCCCTAGACAGATAGTGTGGGATCCAGAACCAGGCATAACTATTGGGAGATCTACCGCAGCTGACAATATTTTGAGCCATCTGTGATGACTGCTTACATTCATTGTCTACAACCAAAGTGGAAAAGCAATCTCTTTAAACCATTGTGCCTACAACTACAAACATACACTGGCCTCTCCACATATCCACAGCTCCCAACTGTTCTGTCACCAACCATGCACTAGCCCTAGATGTCGATCCGACCTATCAGTCCTAGATGTCGGAGGACCTGACCTATCAACCTTAGGTGTCGGGGATTCTGACCTATCAGACCTAGATGTCGGAGGACCTGACCTATCAACCTTAGATGTCGGGGGATCTGACCTATCAACCCTAGATGTCGGAAGATCCGACCTATCAGCCCTAGTTGTCGGGGGATCTGACCTATCCACCCAAGATGTCGGGGGATCCGACCTATCAGCCCTAGATGTCAAGGGATCTGACCTATCATCCCTAGATGTTGGGGGATCTGACCTATCAGCCCTAGATGTCGGGGATCCGACCTTTCAGCCCTAGATGTCGAGGGATCTGACCTATCAGACCCTTGATGTCGGGGGATCCGACCTATCAGCCCTAGATGTCGGAGGACCTGACCTATCAACCTTAGATGTTGGGAGATCTGACCTATCATCCCTAGATGTCAAAGGTTCTGACCTGTCAGCCCTAGATGTCAGGGGATCCGACCTATCAGCCCCAGATGTCGGGGGATCGGACCTATCAACCCTAGATGTCGGGGGATCCGACCTATCAGCCCTAGATGTCAGAGGACCTGACCTATCAACCTTAGATGTTGGGGGATCTGACCTATCAGCCCTAGATGTCAGGGGATCCGACCTATCAGCCCTAGATGTCCGGGGATCCGACCTATCAGCCCTAGATGTCAAGGCATCCGACCTATCAGACCCTTGATGTCGGGGGATCCGACCTATCAGCCCTAGATGTCGGGGGATCCGACCTATCAGCCCCAGATGTCAGGGGATCCGACCTATCAGCCCTAGATGTCCGGGGATCCGACCTATCAGCCCTAGATGTCCGGGGATCCGACCTATCAGCCCTAGATGTCAGAGGACCTGACCTATCAACCTTAGATGTTTGGGGATCTGACCTATCAGCCCTAGATGTCAGGGGATCCGACCTATCAGCCCTAGATGTCAGGGCATCCGACCTATCAGACCCTTGATGTCAGGGGATCCGACCTATCAGCCCTAGATGTCGGGGGATCCGACCTATCAGCCCTAGATGTCGGGGCATCCGACCTATCAGACCCTTGATGTCGGGGGATCCGACCTATCAGCCCTAGATGTCGGGGGATCCGACCTATCAGCCCTAGATGTCGGGGGATCCGACCTATCAGCCCTAGATGTCGGGGGATCCGACCTATCAGCCCTAGATGTCGGGGGATCTGACCTATCAGCCCTAGATGTCAGGGGATCCGACCTATCAGCCCTAGATGTCGGGGGATCCGACCTATCAGCCCTAGATGTCAGGGCATCCGACCTATCAGACCCTTGATGTCAGGGCATCCGACCTATCAGCCCTAGATGTCAAAGGTTCTGACCTGTCAGCCCTAGATGTCAAAGGTTCTGACCTGTCAGCCCAAGATGTCGGTGAATCCGACCTATCAGTCCCAGATGTCGGGGGATCCTACCTATCATCCCTAGATGTCGGGGGATCCTACCTATTGTCCCTAGATGACGGGGGATCCAACCTATCAGCCCAAGATGTCGGGGGATCTGACCTATCAGACCCTTGATGTCGGGGGATCCGACCTATCAGCCCCAGATGTCGGGGGATCGGACCTATCATCCCTAGATGTCCGGGGATCGAACCTATCATCCCTAGACAGATAGTGTGGGATCCAGAACCAGGCATAACTATTGGGAGATCTACCGCAGCTGACAATATTTTGAGCCATCTGTGATGACTGCTTACATTCACTGTCTACAACCAAAGTGGAAAAGCAATCTCTTTAAACCATTGTGCCTACAACTACAAACATACACTGGCCTCTCCACCTATCTACAGCTCCCAACTGTTCTGTCACCAACCATGCACTAGTTTCTCTCCTACTGCTGTGGAGTAGCAGCAAATGTTCATTAATCCATGACTGCCTAAACATATAAGATGTTTCAACACTTTGATGAGCATGTTTTACTATGGTCTCAATTTTCAAATTTTATATACTCTTCTTTAACTTCAAATGACTGTGTTTTGTTTCATAAGGGCAATGACAGTTATCATGTTTGTGTTTCAGGCGTGGTTTAGACATGTCGTCCAGTCTGTCTACTCCCGGCTCAGACATCATGAAGAGGTGGCCTTCGGTACGTATGAACTTAGTAAGGTTTCTTTCCAGTGTGCCTTCAGTTCCATTGTGTATTCGTGACCAAGTGACCAGGACAAGCCAAATATCGACTCGTGCCCCTCTCGTGGCCATTTTTTGCTACTGGGTTCGGTCTAAGCGCAAATGAGCATAGCTGAAAGAATTGTCCACCCGTTGCATAATGATGCAGGTATATTTTCCCCATATATATATTTTCCAGATTAAAACACATCTAGACTTACGGTATTATACAGCATGTTTGAACACATTTAGCTGTATGTTGAGTATACTTAAATGCAGCCATAAAATTTCCGAGTCCCGTTATGGGATTTGAACCACGGACCTTCTCATCTGAGGTCGGACACCTTGTCCACATGACCAAAGAGGTTAACCTCGTCAGCAAGCTGACAAGTTAAGGATGTCATCTTAGGACACCACGCACTGCTACACAAGACATATGTAAATTTAAAAATTATTCCTGAGGGATTCTTTGGATGCAGTATTTGAAGTCATACCGTCTGATTGGTTTGTCATATTTTCGCACATAACATTCATCGATAGGGAGATAAGTCTTCTTGCAGGTTACAAAAAAGGGCCAGAGGTGATGAATGTTCATGTGCCAAAAGCTAAATCCTGAAATGATACGTCTCATGTTCAGAAAGTGAAGCACGAGTGAACATGACTGTGACCTGTTTCACCTGTGATATGAGATAAACTCGTCCATACTGGGACAAAGAGACAATGTAGGCACAATGGGAAATTATAAAAAATAATAAGTCAAATGATAATGGTTCCGCCATAAAAAGGGATGAACCTGAGTTCCCAATGTGCCTACATTAGTTAGTGTAGGTACAATTGGATGTAGGTACAATGGGATATGGGTACAATGGGATGTGGGTACAATGGGATGTAGGTACAATGGTATGTAGGTACAATGGTATGTAGGTACAATGGGATGTAGGTACAATGGGATATGGGTACAATGGGATGTGGGTACAATGGGATGTAGGTACAATGGTATGTAGGTACAATGGTATGTAGGTACAATGGGATGTAGGTACAATGGTATGTAGGTACAATGGGATGTAGGTACAATGGGATGTAGGTACAATGGTATGTAGGTACAATGGTATGTAGGTACAATGGGTTGTGGGTACAATGGGATGTAGGTACATTGGGATGTGGGTACAATGGGATGTGGGTACAATGGGTTGTTGGTACAATGGGATGTGGGTACAATGGGATGCAGGCACAATGGTATGTGGGTACACAGGGATGTAGGTACAATGGGATGTAGGTACAATGGGATGTAGGTACAATGGTATGTAGGTACAATGGGATGTAGGTACAATGGGATGTAGGTACAATGGGATGTAGGTACAATGGGATGTAGGTACAATGGGATGTAGGTACAATGGTATGTAGGTACAATGGGATGTAGGTACAATGGTATGTAGGCACGATGGGATGTAGGTACAATGGTATGTAGGTACAATGGGATGTAGGTACAATGGGATGTAGGTACAATGGGATGTAGGTACAATGGTATGTAGGTACAATGGGATGTGGGTACAATTGGATGTAGGTACAATGGGATGTAGGCACGATGGGATGTAGGTACAATGGGATGTAGGTACAATGGGATGTAGGTACAATGGGATGTAGGTACAATGGTATGTAGGTACAATGGTATGTAGGTACAATGGGATGTAGGTACAATTGGATGTAGGTACAATGGGATGTAGGCACGATGGGATGTAGGTACAATGGGATGTAGGTACAATGGGTTGTGGGTACAATGGTATGTAGGTACAATGGGATGTAGGTACAATGGGATGTAGGCACAATGGTATGTGGGTACCATGGGATGTAGGCACATTTGGATGTAGGCACGATGGGATGTAGGTACAATGGGATGTAGGTACAATGGGATTGAACCCTTAGTAACTATGGTTAATACTTTTATTACATAACAGCTTTGTCAATTGCAGCAACTTAGTGCATTTGCTATGGCTGCTATGGTAACAGTGTTACTATGGTAACATATCTACATCTAAAGTAGTTCTAATGTCAGCAGGGGCGGTCGGGTAGCCTAGTGGTTAAAGCGTTCGCTCGTCACGCCGAAGACCCGGGTTCGATTCCCGACATGGGTACAATGTGTGAAGCCCATTTCTGGTGTCCCCCGCAGTGATATTGCTGGAATATTGCTAAAAGCGGCGTAAAACCAAACTCACTCACTCACTCTAATGTCAGCAGGACTGAGTGAGTGAGATGGGTTTGGTGCTGCTTTGAACAGTATTTGGGTGCTGTCTTGGCTTGTCCGCTTGTAGGATGAAGTTGTAGGCATCTACCTCTTTGGTGGCGCCTACCCACATGGGTCTGGTGCTGACAGACCAAGGATCCAAGTCAGGGTGATTTTAGGATTCGAACCCACAATCAGCAGATCCTGGCACAAGTAAGATATGGAACTGTGATTGTAGGAATCATGGAAGTGAAAGAACCTTGTTTGGCCCTGGGATCCCACACGATACAGTGTGTACTTCAGATGCACCATCTCTCTCTCTGTCCATGGTCAGAATTATGTTTTGACATTATGTGTTTTTTCCCCGATGGGGATTCTCGCTTAGAATGTGTCCCAACAACTGATGCTGGTTGTAAGAGGCGACCAAATGCATTGGTGGTCAGGCTCGGGGACTTGGTTGCTTCTGTGTCTTCGTACCCCATGGCGTGGATCAATGCTCATAATATCAATCACTGGATTGCCTGGTCCAGGTTTGATTATTTACATACTGCCTTCATATAGCTGGAATATCACAGTCTGTGTCAAAATCATTTGACTCTATTTAGTCATTTTCATTAGATTTCGGTGTGATTGAATGGATGATCAATAGCTGAGCTCACTGGACCAAACAGAATGTTTTTGGACTAGGGCTTTGGACTAGTGGCTTTGGACTAGTGGCTAAAGTCGCAGAGTGCACACATACACATTATGTCTTCTACCAGATGTGACCGGATTTAGAAGCTTCCAGGCTCACCTATCTGTATCATCCCGAACAAGGGAGTTAACTCACTTTAAAAGTCCAGTTTCCACCCTTGTCGAACTTGGTTGAAATTCCTGGACTTGATCGAAGCGCCACCAGTAGCTATTACAAGTTTTGTCCCTTCTAAGCCTCTTCTATGGACCAATCAGATTCCACCTCTCATATCACTTGCATTTGCTTCAAACAAAATGGCGGCACCCTGTCAAGATGATCTGATAGATTATCAAGATCTATATTGTGATAAAACGAGTCTTACATCGCGAAGTGCATCAAATCACGTGAGCAGCTTGATTACGGACATGAAAAGATTTGGAAAACATCTGTTGACAACAAGTTGGGGATGCACATGCTTTGCAAATCCTGCAATTGACCGAAATCTGCATGACAGTTTACGATTTTGATTTCTTTGCATGATTTTGATTGGACTATGCATAGAGTCATTAGTCCAGCCAAAATGTAACTCCATAAAACCAGCCTATATCGGCAAGGGTGGAAACAGGACTTTTATATTCAGTTAACTCTCTTGCCTCAGGAAGATGCCTATCTTTATGAATTGAGATCTCCACCAACTGATGTATCTTTTATCTTTCAGAGTGACACACTAGATAGCTTCAAGTCAGTCGGGTCCTTTGTCTCTCTTCAAGATGAAGATGGTGATATCATGTCTGTGGGATCGGCTGATGGACATGTCAGGTAATTGCTACATAGCTATCTTATGTTAACATCTTTACAGAGCCATAGAAACATCATTACTTACTCGAATTATTAGATGTACGAATGAGTTAGGTCGTCAAATTGTGTACAAGCAATACTTGTTCAGAGGTAAGAATTTTTTATGTAAAGTTTACTTAATGGTCAAAATTTAACATCACATTAGAATGTTAAATCTGAGAGCATGGGGCTGAAAATGTACATCTTACAGCGCTAATATAATAATACACATCAAGCTTTCTGCATGTTTCTTTTTTATTTCCATTTAAAAAAAAATATATGAATCTTTAGATATTCCGCATCTCGAACACATGACCCCGGCAGTGAAATGCTACAATACTTAAGATCAACATGATTTTGCCGAAAGTTTTGCTAACAAAATTTGGTTACAACCAAAAATAAAAAACACCGCCTGCCCACACACAAAAACCAATGCTTGAGAACTAATACTCTTTTTTTTTAGCCTTAAATATATTTACCATTTTCTTCCACCACAAAACAGAAATGTTGAAATCCCTACCTGTTTTGTGTGTGCCTCTTCTCCCTTGGACGTTACCACTAATCCTTACACTGTATAGTAGACTGCAACCAGTTCCGATACTGACTCAACTCAACACTGCTGGACACCTTGTCAGTGGTCAGCTAGTGGTCAATGATGTCTCACCTGCCTGGCCCACACAGTGTGGTCTGTAGATGGACAAGACGGTTAGTGGTCAGTGTGGTCTGCTGATGTACAACACATTTGGTATATCTTGTGGTCAGCGGGGCCTCTCGTCTGCTTGACCTGCACAGTGTGGTCCGTGGTGGACCTGTCACTCAGGTTATACAGGCTGGAGGAAGTCAAGTCTCCATCCTGCTGAGGAGAATCGTTTACATCACTGCATGTGGTTTATGTCATGCTGAGATAAACTTTTGATTGAAAGACTAGATGATAAGATTTTCATGATTATGTTTTCTTATTCTTTAAAGATTGTTTTATCCATATTACTTTATCATGATAAAAGGAAAAAAATGTACGTGTTATGGTTTTAAAGATTGTTAAGTTCAAAGAGTGAGTGAGTGAGTGAGTATGGTTTTACGCCGCTTTTAGCAATATTCCAGCAATATCACGGCGGGGGACACCAGAAATGGGCTTCACACATTGTACCCACGTCGGGAATTGAACCCGGGTCTCCTCGGCGTGACGAGCTAACGCTTTAACCACTAGGCTACCCGACCGCCCCTAAGTTCAAAGACACAGGGCAATTGGAAGTCATGCTTTATCTGATGGAGCTGTCGCATGTTACAACTGTTTGTTGTTGACATACCAGCTTCTACGTGACTGTGTAGTTTAAGATGGTGTCCTGTGCACAGAGGGTACATCCTATTATTATTATTATTATTGTTATTATCATTGTTATTATTACCTTATCTTTGCCTTCTATATTGCAGTTTTGACTCCCAGGGATTTCAATCCCCCTCAGTTCCTGCCTCCCCCATCAGCTCACCAACCAAGTCCCCCTTCTACCGTCTAGGAAGCAGTTGTGAGAGCGAGTCCACCAGCAGTATCTACCACACAGACGAAGCATCCAGCACCGCATCCCCATCTCAACCACCCTCCGCTCCGCAGACACCAAGCCTAGCATCCCCGACCCAACCACCATCCGCTCCACAGACACCAAGCCTAGCATCCCCGACCCAACCACCATCCTCTCCCCAGACACCAAGCCTAGCATCCCCGACCCAACCACCATCCTATCCTCAGACACCAAACCCAGCCTCCCCGACTCAACCCTCCGCTCCACAGACACCAAGCCTAGCATCCCCGACCCAACCACCATCCTCTCCCCAGACACCAAGCCTAGCATCCCCGACCCAACCACCATCCTATCCTCAGACACCAAACCCAGCATCCCCGACTCAACCCTCCGCTCCCCAGACACCAAACCCAGCATCCCCAACTCAACCCTCCGCTCCCCAGACACCAAACCCAGCATCCCCGACTCAACCCTCCGCTCCACAAACACCAAGCCTAGCATCTCCAACTAAGCCCGCCACTCTTCAGACACCAAACTCAGCATCCCCATCTTGCCCAGCCTCCGCTCCCCAGACAACCAACTTGGCACAGACACCTGCCCCCACATCCAATCCACCCCACACTGAGCCAACACCTGACACAGCTGACCTCTCACTGAGGTTATCACCGACTGACTCGGTCACTTCTCCACCTGACCAGGCCATGGACAAGGACCAGAGTTGTGTCTGTTGTGACCATGGTCATGGAGACTCCGGAGAGACAGTGACCGAAGGTCAAACTGCAAGCTATGGTCAACAACGGATGATGTCGCGGCAAATGAGTGCCGACACCTCGTGTTCCGAATGTTCCATTTCTCCATCTCGGTACGTGCAATACACAGATAAACAGGCTGAGATGCAGTGTTTCTCAGCGCTGGACAATACGCCAGACTTGCAGTCAGCCAACAAGTACATGGGTTCCAGCCAGGAAGACACTTCGGGTATGTACAGTGTAAAGGGGCTCTCATACTTTGCCGAGTTGCATCCCGAGTATGGACCTGAGCTGACTTCGGGGTACCTGTATGGAGCTCGTAGTGAGGTCATACTAAACTCGGGGTAACTCGGGATACCTTTTACTGATCTACGAAAGTTTTGGAACTGCTCAAAACAGTCGGGCCGCCAGCCAACTCCTAAGAAACTCGTAACAAACTCGTAACACACTCGTCCTACTGGTAGTACCCTCGTGGCGACCTTGTGGTGCTCGTATAGAACTCGTATGAAGATCGTCTGCAAAATTTATTGCCAAGTTGACCGAGTCTAATACGAACTATACAAGTGTAATTCCCGCCAAATTATTTAGCAGCTCGTAGCCACCTTGTATTAAAGTCGGACCAAACTCGTACCAAACTCGTACAGCTGGTATCGAGATCGTTCTGCTCCTGTGCAACTCTTATTGTGACATAAGATTTGACAAATTATGGTTTTCTAAGGCCGCGGTGGTGATCACTGCAGTTTCTAAAAGAGAGCTCAAAAGGATTAAGAAATAATGGGTAATAAAGAAATTATTACACTTACATGTGTCTCATACTGATTTTATGAAACTTGTTTAAGAATCCATGTATTACCCTTGCTGTCGCTCGGGAAATATAAAAATTCTGACACTCATTTAGTAAAATCAGTATGACACACGTTCTCGTATAATAATCTCTGTATATTACTCCCCCTGAGGGTGATATGTTACTGTGATGTGTGTCTGCAGGTGATACTGTGCCCAGCACCAGCAGCGGAGAAGACACGGGACCAACATCGGCCTGCTCCACGCCACCGTCCAGGTGGGTAGTCCATGTACTTCCTGCAAAACATTCAATCTGTTCAAAGCCCAAATGAGAGGATTGGGTGGTCAACCTAGCAGATCCTGTGTCATTCCACCTGATGGTACAATCTCATTAAAATCAGATCTGAGGCACTACAGATCAGATTACAGGTCACGTCAGAACGACATTTCACCCGACCAATCAAAGCGTCGCTTACCAGATCGTGAAAGGGACAGTCGGAATGTGTTTTCTAATCATGCAACCTCGAAAACGTTAACACGGGGTATTCCAAACGACAGTAAGGGCCCGTACGACTGATTCCATCAAAATTATCGCCTATCTCTCGCTTCCGTGCAATAAACATTTGAACAAAGGAGACATTGCACAGTATGTGGGAAGCACTGCCATACAATCTCAACCAGACATTTCGGAATGTTTGTTTGTTCAGTTTTCAAAATTTTAATTGAGAACTGTGTCATCATATTTTTCAAGCATGGTCTGAAATGGAAGTCGCCAGTTCCGTAAAGCTCGAGAAAGCTGCTTTCTAATTGGCTGATGTTGACTTCTTGTTACTTATTTCAGTGGTCAGCAGTTCACGAAAGGTCGTTCTGGCATGACCCGTAATGGGTGTCCTCAGATCTTTGTTTAGCAGCAGCCAGAACCTAGATTTGATTTTAATGAGATTGCCTGACAGTACGGACACTGAGGATGTCATTATTCCAGGGAGGAAAAGCCGCCTGTGTCCGGTTTGCAGGAAGTGAGGATGTGTGAGTTGAGTGATGGTGGTCCATGCAGGGTGACCTCCAGGTGGACTCCCTCCCTGATGTGTTTTTTGTTGTAACCTGGTGTTGTCGCACTGTAGACCCTATGCAGGGTGACCTCCAGGTGGACTCCCTCTCTGATGTGTTTCTTGTTGTAACCTGGTGTTGTCGCACTGTAGACCCTATGCAGGGTGACCTCCAGGTGGACTCCCTCCCTGATGTGTTTCTTGTTGTAACCTGGTGTTGTCGCACTGTAGACCCTATGCAGGGTGACCTCCAGGTGGACTCCCTCCCTGATGTGTTTCTTGTTGTAACCTGGTGTTGTCGCACTGTAGACCCTATGCAGGGTGACCTCCAGGTGGACTCCCTCCCTGATGTGTTTCTTGTTGTAACCTGGTGTTGTAGCACTGTAGACCCTATGCAGGGTGACCTCCAGGTGGACTCCCTCTCTGATGTGTTTCTTGTTGTAACCTGGTGTTGTCGCACTGTAGACCCTATGCAGGGTGACCTCCAGGTGGACTCCCTCTCTGATGTGTTTCTTGTTGTAACCTGGTGTTGTCGCACTGTAGACCCTATGCAGGGTGACCTCCAGGTGGACTCCCTCCCTGATGTGTTTCTTGTTGTAACCTGGTGCTGTAGCACTGTAGACCCTATGCAGGGTGACCTCCAGGTGGACTCCCTCTCTGATGTGTTTCTTGTTGTAACCTGGTGCTGTAGCACTGTAGACCCTATGCAGGGTGACCTCCAGGTGGACTCCCTCTCTGATGTGTTTCTTGTTGTAACCTGGTGCTGTAGCACTGTAGACCCTATGCAGGGTGACCTCCAGGTGGACTCCCTCCCTGATGTGTTTCTTGTTGTAACCTGGTGCTGTAGCACTGTAGACCCTATGCAGGGTGACCTCCAGGTGGACTCCCTCTCTGATGTGTTTCTTGTTGTAACCTGGTGCTGTAGCACTGTAGACCCTATGCAGGGTGACCTCCAGGTGGACTCCCTCTCTGATGTGTTTCTTGTTGTAACCTGGTGCTGTAGCACTGTAGACCCTATGCAGGGTGACCTCCAGGTGGACTCCCTCTCTGATGTGTTTCTTGTTGTAACCTGGTGCTGTAGCACTGTAGACCTGATGGACCTCCATGCTCCTGATCCTACTGCGGAGTCCTCATCCCAAATACTCAAACAGCTTTTGTTTGATTCTCAGGAAACCTAAGGCGGGGTTGTACAGTCTGGGGGACCTGATGGAGAAGCTGGGACCCGGGGTGCCAGGTGAGTTGATGACCTCCCCCTACCTGTAGTACCTCTCTCTACCTGTAGTACCTCTCTACCTGTACTACCTCTCTACCTGTAGTACCTCTCTACCTGTACTACCTCTCTACCTGTAGTACCTCTCTACCTGTACTACCTCTCTACCTGTAGTACCTCTCTCTACCTGTAGTACCTCTCTCTACCTGTAGTACCTCTCTCTACCTGTAGTACTTCTCTACCTGTACTACCTCTCTACGTGTAGTACCTCTCTCTACCTGTAGTACCTCTCTCTACCTGTAGTACCTCTCTACCTGTACTACCTCTCTGCTTGTAGTACCTCTCTCTTCCTGTAGTACCACTCTACCTGTAGTACCTCTCTCTACCTGTAGTACCTCTCTCTACCTGTAGTACCTCTCTCCACCTGTAGTACCCCTCTACCTGCAGCACCTCTCTCTACCTTTAGTACCTCCCCCTACCTGTAGTACCTCTCTACCTGTAATACCTCCCCCTACCTGTAGTACCTCTCTCTACCTGTAGTACCTCTCTACCTTTAGTACCCCTCTACCTGTAGTACCTCTCTCCACCTGCAGCACCCCTCTCTACCTGTAGTACCTCTCCACCTGACTCTCACTGACCTGACAGTCTATCATTGTACCATATCCTGATAGCATGATCAGACATGTCAAGGAATGAGTCATACCTCCCATGTTATGTCTCCTATTGTGAAACAAAATCAGAGAAACACAAGTTTTGAGGCTGATGTTCCCGAAACCTGGTGATTCTTCACCATTACTTCCATGGGGTTCCAGGTTAGAATAGGTTCCCAGGAGCCCATGCTAGTCATAAGAGATGTCCTAAAGGATTGGTGTCCAAAGGATAGGTGACCTCGTGGATGGCGCATGATATCCATCATTAATTCGCTGCCCACCTTCATACAGCTGGAATATAACTAAGTGTGGCATTAAACAACAAATAGACAAAACAACCTAAAACAGTACTAGTGGACAACTCTCCATTTCAGGATATGGCATTGTTAATGTACTACTCTCCTGCAACAACCTACAACACATACTCTACAGCTTGCTGATTGGTCGAACAGTCCTTGTTGTCGGCTCGCCGAGACTAGAAGGGGAGGTAATCAGGATTGTCACAGCATTGGCTCTGTTCCTGCCAGACCACCGGAGGTGACTGACTGTTTGTTTGTTCATGTTACTTGTATGTGATAAAGCATGGACCTTTCAGTCTTTACTATTTACCTGATAATCATCATAATCACTGAAGCTGGGTTTTATATTTGGTTCTAATCAAGTTTATACCACACGATGTGTCACATACTTTGAATATGAAAAATTAAGAAAAGTGTCAGTCAAAATGGTACATAGATATTCCCCTCTTATGTACCTGAGGACGGTATATATATATATATTCCCAGCTCCAGCAGCTGTACACTCCCCAGGGAGCGGAGAATGAAAACTGAGGGCACACTGATCCATGGGGTAATAATACTAGCTCTTAGAGCATGCTTGTTGGAGGATTTGGTGTTCTACAAGTTCACATTATTATGCCCCGCCACGAAGTCGAGTTTGTTCGTCTATCCTTCCTTTTGTCAGTCCACTTCTCATGGGGACAAATTTTCTCAATAACTATTACAGATGGAAAAATGATATTTTACCCACTGATGTTACTGGTCACGTTTTCAGTTAAGTTGAAAATTGCTGTCTTAAAATCATTTTTTACAGAGTTATGCCCCTTGCTCCATGCTTTGCAACTTACTGCGTACTGCGTGAAATGGGGACAAGTTTTCTCGAAAACTATTAAATTTCGAAAAATGAAATCTTTCACACTGATGTTACTTGTCACGATCACAAATGTGTTCTAAAATTGGTGTCTTAAATTCATTTTTACAAAGTTATGTGCGGACGTGCGTGCGTGCGTGCGTGCGTGCGTGCGTGCGTGCGTGCGTGCGTGCGTGCGTGCAAAACTTTGCATGTCCACTAGGCACATACTGAACTGGTGCCTTTTGCTATTTAGGAATTTTATAAATTTTTATTTTTTACGTTTCCATTGCAACAAGTTGGACTTAGGTTCTATAGGGTAGAGTTTGTTTCCGGAGCATAACTCAAAACCCATTCAATACTTTCCAAAAAAAACTGTGCATGTTTACCAGACACATACTGGACTGGTGTCTCTTGCTATTTAGGAATTTTTGAAATTTTTTTTTTTCACGTTTCCATGGCAATAAGTTGGACTTAGGTTCTACAGGGGTGGTGTTCGTTTCCAGAGTGTAACTCAAAAAACGTTAAATACTTTCTTACAAAACTTTGCATGTCTACCAGGCATATACTGAACTGGTGCCCTTTGATATATCGCACTTTTAGAAATTTTTATTGTTTATGTTTCCATGACAACAAGTTGGATTTAAGTTTTAATAAAGGATTGGTTTACTTAAGTAGTATAACAAATAAACTGTTAAATATTTCCTTGCCAAACATTGCATGTCTATATATCACTGATATATAAAGCGCATACTGAACTAGTGCCATTTGATATTAACATGATTAAGGAGTTTTTAGAAATGTTTATTTTAGAATTTCCATTGCAGCAATTTTGACATGGGCTAAGAGAAATGTTGGGTCAGTTACCTGGTTTGGGACCATAACATGTTAAAATGGGCGGGGGATATAGATGACTTTGTCAACTATACGCTTGTTTTACTTCATGTATCGTGTCTTCAATGGGAACAAGGTTTCTCAGAAACTATTGACATTACAGGAATGAAACTTTGCAAACTAAATAAAAATATATATATAACGTTATTACACTATTCCAATATGTCAGAGATAGGTGATACGTTTTTGTTAATACCAAGACCGGGTGCCATTTTATGTCTGTTGTTGATATCTGTCTGGATGACCCTGTCTCGTTATCTTGCATGTCAGGCATCTCAAATTTACAACATGGTACCGCTCGGGTCAAAACAACAAGGTTCAACTGTATATAGCTTTACTTCGGGACCATACGTTCATCTATCAGTCCGATAGGTATATTATTTAGTTTTCTTCATTTGTTAATAGATACGGTATCCATGGTAACAAGTGCTGTTGTTGCTTCAGGAAACACCCATCTATGATAGAATGGCTATCCAAGCCCTTTAGACTCACAGATCTAGCCCGTACAAAGCTGGCTGGTGTGTGTCGGCCGGAGAAACGATCACTGGAGTCTGTGGTTCCTAATGTCGTCAAGGTAACACACAACTCTACAGTGGAACCTCTTTAATCTGGACAAAACTGTGGAAATCATGTGGATTGAGGAATTTACAGATTCTGAAGGTTTTCTCGGTGTTAGGTCAATGAGACCTATTTACACCTTGCCCATATTACAAGTTTGCTAAATGTTTAGAAATGAAATAAAATACTATAAAGTTGAGAAACTGCCACATGCTTTACTGCTAAAAGATTTAAAGACACCTAATGTTTTCATATGAGTATGGTTAATCAGCCTGACTCTATGTGAACCTCTTTAATCTGGACAAAACTGTGGAAATCATGTGGATTGAGGAATTTACAGATTCTGAAGGTTTTCTCGGTGTTAGGTCAATGAGACCTATTTACACCTTGCCCATATTACAAGTTTGCTAAATGTTTAGAAATGAAATAAAATACTATAAAGTTGAGAAACTGCCACATGCTTTACTGCTAAAAGATTTAAAGACACCTAATGTTTTCATATGAGTATGGTTAATCAGCCTGACTCTATGTGAACCTCTTTAATCTGGACAAAACTGTGGAAATCATGTGGATTGAGGAATTTACAGATTCTGAAGGTTTTCTCGGTGTTAGGTCAATGAGACCTATTTACACCTTGCCCATATTACAAGTTTGCTAAATGTTTAGAAATGAAATAAAATACTATAAAGTTGAGAAACTGCCACATGCTTTACTGCTAAAAGATTTAAAGACACCTAATGTTTTCATATGAGTATGGTTAATCAGCCTGACTCTATGTGATTAAAGGGGCATCTACCGCACTCTAGTGGGCGGAGCTTATACGAGTGAAAAAGTTACACAGGAGGACACATGGAAAGATGACAGTTCTATTTTTTCAAATGAAAAAATAATAAATTTGAACATTATTTAAGGACTGGTCATTTATGTTTATTACAATGGGGGATGGGGTGTCATGAAAAAATGTTACATGTATTTTGAGGTATGGGACAGACATGATACAGTCCTAAGACCAATCTCAAGAATTACCCCTCCCCCTACCATCACCCCAAATAAATGACCAGTCCCTTATAACAATTTCGCTATAGCAGATTAATTGCTCATGATTGGAGTTATTTCCCTTGGTATGAAGACAGTGAGAACACACTGTCCCTTATGAAATAGATATTAGCGCTGACAGCAGGGTCTCCTGTCTGTATGACCTTCATTAATTGTGAAGAGATACATTAAAATGACATGAGACCAACACAAAGGGACATTGGATTTAGCTGCAAACTGAGAAAAGTGATTCAACAGAATGAAGGTGGTTCACCAGTGACTTAACCTGTTATTTATCATGTGTTTTTCATAGCTGATCCTATATGCAATGTTGTTGCCTCCCTTTTAATCTAAACTGTCTGTTTTCAGAAATATTCCTCCATAATTGATGTTGACAGACAAGGCATCCTAGCTCCCAAATACCAGGTAATACACTGACGATGAAGCTGATAGCAGGTTTACTGTGTGAATATTATGTATTTCGATTCATTGTGATTGGTACAGTTATAAATAGAAGGGGCGGACGGGTAGCCTCGTGGTTAAAGCGTTCGCTGGTCATGCCAAAGACCCGGGTTCGATTCCCGACATGGGTAGAATGTGTGAAGGCCATTTCTGGTGTCCCCCGCCGTGATATTGCTGGAATATTGCTAAAAGGGGCGTAAAACCATATTCACTCACTCACTAAATGTGATTTATCAGTATTCTGTACATGGTTCATTAATGTGAGTAGAATGATTTATTGTTTTATTATTATTTCTGTTTTATGTCTGTATTGGTAGTTTCCTGTTTTAGTTACCCATCTCGACCTGCTTTGCCTCTGTTGGAGAGATCACTGAATATTCTTTTGGCATAATGCATGTCTCCCAAGAGCTGAGAAAGAAATTTATTATGTGTGCCACAGGGCCCACATGTGCAATTTTGAATTTAAGTGTGCCAACAAGATCCTTCTTCGAGCTGTGTATGTCATTTCCCTCATCAGAGATGTGAGATCGATCCTAGCACCGTCATTCTTTGGTATCAGTAGAGGACGAACTTGTGAGATCGATCCTAGCACCATCGTTCTTTAGTATCAGTAGAGGACGAACTTGTGCGATCGATCCTAGCACCGTCATTCTTTGGTATCAGTAGAGGACGAACTTGTGAGATCGATCCTAGCACCATCGTTCTTTAGTATCAGTAGAGGACGAACTTGTGCGATCGATCCTAGCACCGTCATTCTTTGGTATCAGTAGAGGATGAACTTGTGAGATCGATCCTAGCACCATGGTTCTTTAGTATCAGTAGAGGACAAACTTGTGCGATCGATCCTAGCACCGTCATTCTTTGGTATCAGTAGAGGACGAACTTGTGAGATCGATCCTAGCACCATTGTTCTTTAGAATCAGTAGAGGACGAACTTGTGAGATCGATCCTAGCACCGTCGTTCTTTGGTATCAGTAGAGGACGAACTTGTGAGATCGATCCTAGCACCATCGTTCTTTGGTATCAGTAGAGGACAAACTTGTGCGATCGATCCTAGCACCGTCATTCTTTGGTATCAGTAGAGGACGAACTTGTGAGATCGATCCTAGCACCATTGTTCTTTAGTATCAGTAGAGGACGAACTTGTGCGATCGATCCTAGCACCGTCATTCTTTGGTATCAGTAGAGGATGAACTTGTGAGATCGATCCTAGCACCATGGTTCTTTAGTATCAGTAGAGGACAAACTTGTGCGATCGATCCTAGCACCGTCATTCTTTGGTATCAGTAGAGGACGAACTTGTGAGATCGATCCTAGCACCATCGTTCTTTGGTATCAGTAGAGGACGAACTTGTGAGATCGATCCTAGCACCGTCGTTCTTTGGTATCAGTAGAGGACGAACTTGTGAGATCGATCCTAGCACCATCATTCTTTAGTATCAGTAGAGGACGAACTTGTGCGATCGTTCTTAGTACCGCCGTTCTTTAGTTTCAGTAGAGGACAAACTTATGTGATCAATCCGAGGAAAAGTTGAAACAGGTCTTTTGTAAACTATGTTATGTGTGGAACTTCGACTTTGTCATTACATTGAAGGTTGATGTGGCTATATATATGTGTGCATCAGTGATTTATATAGGCCTGCCAGGGGCCGATATTCAGCCTCTAATCCGCAGCAAGTGTCCATAAAAAACTGGAAGTAAAAGCCTTTGCATGTTGATTTTGTTGTTGTGGCCTTGTGGAGACTTGTACATCAGTGATAACAAGGTAAATAATCAGCATAAAGAGGAATAGGCTTAATGATTAATTTGAAGTTTTTGCATAAGAATGCATTGGTAAAATGCCTTTGAATTTATGACAATAGGAAATTAAAAAATCCAAATCTTGAGCAAAATAGTGATTTGTGTTTTTCCAATTTGTCTGAACAAACTTGCTACGACTTGACTAGACAATCTCTCCAAGGCAAGGGTGTCCACTAGCCTATATCAAAGCCTAGTTGCCGCCTATGCAATTCGATTCCCCACATGAGTACAATGTGTGAAGCCCTTTTTCAGTTGTTCCCGCTTTGATACTGCTGGAATGTTGCTAAAAGCGATGTAAACCGTACTCACTCACTCACTCTTATTTCTAACAGCTTCACAAAGATGACTATCATAGCAGACTACCTGGTCAATCAGATAACGAAGAGATTTGAGATTGCATCCATGACAGACAAACAAAATGAAAGATTACGACAGCATGATACTTAGTTCTGCTGCATGTTGCTCTTACAATAATAGAGACTGCAGACTGCACAGTATCAAGTAACACTGCACATAGTGATAGCATGAAACATGTATCAACTATCAGCAGGGTCATCTAGAAACAGCACTGCATCTCAGCCACTGACATTAATGGCCACTTCGAAAATAGTTGTCTGCGCTAACTTTTTGGAATATTTTTAGCGCAAATTGGACAAGCGATGGAATGGGTGAAAACTAGACTTTGATATAGTTAGGACACACATGCTTCATGAAGATGACCCTAGCATTTTGTATTGTTGTAGTTAAGAGCTTTAAAGAGCTTAGGCCACTTCGAAAATATTGGTCTTCACTTACTTTTTGGAATATTTTTAGCGCAAATTGGACAAGCAATGGAATGGGTGAAAACTAGACTTTGATATAGTTAGGACACACTTGCTTCATGAAGATGACCCTAGCATTTTGTATTGTTATAGTTAAGAGCTTTAAAGAGCTTTGAGGAAATTATGTCATTATGCTCCAGATGTTAGAATGAAATCCATTTTGAAATGTTTGCATATACCTTGAATGTTTCAGGAGAAATGTTTTCCTTCATTTCAGGGTAATCTTCTGACAGCATTGATAAGCAAGAAGAAGGTCTTCAATACAGACACAGAATTTGTAGGCTTTATTCACTGGTGAGTAGAAACATCCCATCTTGCTGCTCTGCCCTTGTGTACTGATATATACATGATTTGGGGCGGAGCCTCATCGTTTAAGGGGGACCCTTGGGCAGACGGAAACCTATGATTGTGGTTCGAATCCCAGATTGCCCCGATTATGTTTCTAGGTTTGTTAGCACCATACCCCTATTTGTTGGTTTCATCAAAGTGTAAATGTCTAAGACCTGCATCACTTCAGGATTCCCTTCATCATTAAGCTGACACGCCGTGGAATACTGTTAAACTCAACTCATTCATTGATATACAGGGGCAGTCGGGTAGCCTAGTGGTTAAAGCGTTCCGTGTCACGCCGAAGACCCGGGTTCGATTCCGGACATGGGTACAATGTGTGAAGCCCATTTCTGGTGTCCTACGCTGTGATATTGTTGGAATATTGCTAAAAGTGGCGTAAAACGATACTCACTCACTCACTGATATACATCATATACAACATATAAGCAGGTGCAAAGTCAATCATTCCTGAGCTGTGTGGAAAAGGACACCAGAAAGCAATTTTGTGAGTTTCAGCACCAAGAGTGAGTGAGTGAGTTGGGTTTAGCGCCGCTTTTAACAATATTCCAGTTATATCACGGCGTGTCAGCTTAATGTGGGAGGGAAGCCCGAAGTGACGAGATCTCAGACGTTTACCACTTCGGTGAAACCCACGAGCATGGGTATGGTGCTGACAAACCTAGAAACATAATTGCGGCGAAACCGGGATTCGCACTCACAATCATAGGTTTCTGGCGTGCCCAACGGAAACAGTGAAACCCATGAGCACGGGTATGGTTCAACACCAAGAAACTAGAAGGAATTCACGTAGATGACAGGGAGTGTTGTTCCTAAGTTCCCATGTTTATTCCCGTGCTGTTGCCTTGGTTACCTCTGTATTACATGAGTCAGTAAAGTAACATAGGGTGGTATGTGAAATATCGAGGTATTCAAGAATTTCTCTATTGTATTATCCTATGGAAGGAATGTCCAATATTGACTGAGACAGGTGTCGAATTGGTTTTTAAAATAATTTTTAATAAGAATTTTACAGTAAACCACAATCTTATTTAAATCAGATCTTAGTTCTCGCTACTGCTAAACAACAATCTGAGGACATCCCATAAGAAGTCATGTCAGAATGACCTTTCATCCGGCCAATCAGAGCGTCACTTACCAGTTCATGAAAGTGACAGTCAGAATGTGATTCTAATCATGCAACCTCAAAAACTTTAACACGGGGTATTCTGAACGAAGGTTACGGGCTAAACAACTGAATCCCTACAATCTAGACCATCTATTAGCCATTCCAGAATGTTCTTCCGTTCAGGTTTCAAATTTTTAATTGAAGCGTAGTCACCAATTTGGAATTAATGCCGTAAAGAATGAGGATGCTGCCTTCTGATTGGCTAATGGCGGCTTCTTGTTAGTCATTCCATTGGTCGGTCAAAGTTCGCGCAAGGTCGGTCTGACGTCACCCGTAATGGGATGTCCTCAGATCTTTGTTTAGCGGTATCGAGAACAAAGATCTGAACAAAGAGATTGCAGTAGACCAGTGAATAATCTGTCATGACTAAAGTATTGCAATTGTAAAGTATTCTCTTTTGATGAATTAATATGGCTTTGTTTGTGTGTTTTTTGTCTGCCCTGAATATATGTATCCCGACATACCTTATTTTCTAACAGTTAAGATGGTATTGCTGATATTTTGAGGGATGAGTGAATAAAAATAAAAATTCTAATTCTGCTTCATAACAATAGGCAATGTCTTCATCAATAGAATAAAAATCCTCAATGAAAAGGCATGACTCCCATTACCTCATCTGTAAACTTCCGCTGCACTTGAGTGGCGTCGCCTATTGTCGGACACCTGATTGGTTTCGTGCTTTAGCGGGGTTTTCATGACTGAACAGACATGTCTTGGCTCACAATTCTCAACATAATTCTTGCAGGTCGGCATTAAAACTCAAAAAGTAATTGAAAATTTGAAACCTGTTCGATAATAGATGTTTTTCGAAATTAGGTATGTTTCCGACTATATTGTATCCTCTCAGCCCTGATATATGTGTCTGACTGTGTTGTATTCTCTCAGCCCTGATACATGTATCTGACTGTGTTGTATCCTCTCTGTCCTGATACATGTGTCTGACTGTGTTGTATCCTCTCAGCCCTGATATATGTGTCTGACTGTGTTGTATTCTCTCAGCCCTGATACATGTATCTGACTGTGTTGTATCCTCTCTGTCCTGATACATGTGTCTGACTGTGTTGTATCCTCTCAGCCCTGATATATGTGTCTGACTGTGTTGTATCCTCTCTGTCCTGATATATGTGTCTGACTGTGTTGTATCCTCTCTGTCCTGATATATGTGTCTGACTGTGTTGTATCCTCTCTGTCCTGATATATGTGTCTGACTGTGTTGTATCCTCTCTATCCTGATATATATGTGTCTGACTGTCTTGTATCCTCACAGCCCTGATATATGTATCTGATTGTATTATATCCTCTCTGTCCTGATGTATGTGTCTGACTGTATTATATCCTCTTTGTCCTGATATATGTGTCTGACTGTGTTGTATCCTCTCTGTCCTGATATATGTGTCTGACTGTATTATATCCTCTCTGTCCTGATATATGTGTCTGACTGTATTATATCCTCTCAGTCCTGATATATGTGTCTGACTGTTGTATCCTCTCTGTCCTGATATATGTGTCTGACTGTATTATATCCTCTCTGTCCTGATATATGTGTCTGACTGTGTTGTATCCTCTCTGTCCTGATATATGTGTCTGACTGTATTATATCCTCTCAGTCCTGATATATGTGTCTGACTGTGTTATATCCTCTCTGTCCTGATATGTGTCTGACTGGGTTATATCCTCTGAGCCCTGATATATGTGTCTGACTGTGTTATATCCTCTCTGTCCTGATATATGTGTCTGACTGTGTTGTATCCTCTCAGTCCTGATATATGTTTGACTGTATTATATCCTCTCAGCCCAGATATATGTGTCTAACTGTGTTGTATCCTCTCAGCCCTGATATATGTCTCTGACTGTGTTGTATCCTCTCAGCCCTGATATATGTCTCTGACTGTGTTGTATCCTCTCAGCCCTGATATATGTGTCTGACTGTATTATATCCTCTCAGCCCTGATATATGTGTCTGACTGTGTTGTATCCTCTCAGCCCTGATATATGTGTCTGACTGTGTTGTATCCTCTCAGCCCTGATGTATGTGTCTGACTGTATTATATCCTCTCAGCCCTGATATATGTGTCTGACTGTATTATATCCTCTCAGCCCTGATATATGTGTCTGACTGTGTTGTATCCTCTCAGCCCTGATATATGTGTCTGACTGTATTATATCCTCTCTGTCATGATATATGTGTCTGACTGTATTATATCCTCTCAGCCCTGATATATGTGTCTGACTGTGTTGTATCCTCTCAGCCCTGATATATGTGTCTGACTGTGTTGTATCCTCTCAGCTCTGATATATGTCTCTGACTGTGTTGTATCCTCTCAGCCCTGATATATGTGTCTGACTGTATTATATCCTCTCAGCCCTGATATATGTGTCTGACTGTGTTGTATCCTCTCAGCCCTGATATATGTGTCTGACTGTGTTGTATCCTCTCAGCCCTGATATATGTGTCTGACTGTATTATATCCTCTCAGCCCTGATATATGTGTCTGACTGTATTATATCCTCTCAGCCCTGATATATGTGTCTGACTGTGTTGTATCCTCTCAGCCCTGATATATGTGTCTGACTGTATTATATCCTCTCTGTCCTGATATATGTGTCTGACTGTGTTGTATCCTCTCAGCCCTGATATATGTCTCTGACTGTGTTGTATCCTCTCAGCCCTGATATATGTGTCTGACTGTGTTGTATCCTCTCAGCCCTGATATATGTGTCTGACTGTATTATATCCTCTCAGCCCTGATATATGTGTCTGACTGTGTTGTATCCTCTCAGCCCTGATATATGTGTCTGACTGTGTTGTATCCTCTCAGCCCTGATATATGTGTCTGACTGTATTATATCCTCTCAGCCCTGATATATGTGTCTGACTGTATTATATCCTCTCAGCCCTGATATATGTGTCTGACTGTGTTGTATCCTCTTTGTCCTGATATATGTGTCTGACTGTATTATATCCTCTCTGTCCTGATATATGTGTCTGACTGTGTTGTATCCTCTCAGCCCTGATATATGTGTCTGACTGTGTTGTATCTTCTCAGCCCTGATATATATATCTGACTGTATTATATCCTCTCAGCCCTGATATATGTGTCTGACTGTTGTATCTTCTCAGCCCTGATATATGTGTCTGACTGTGTTGTATCTTCTCAGCCCTGATATATATATCTGACTATATTATATCCTCTCAGCCCTGATATATGTGTCTGACTGCGTTGTATCCTCTCTGTTTCTGACTGTCTCTGCAGCTGGTTGATGGAGTTGTCGTCCAAGGCCTTCATCTTCTACCACTCCTTCTGCCTGGGCACTGCTGGCATCATGTAGTAAGTCTTGTTCCAATGATTAGGGGGAACGGTTGGCCCTGTTCATCCAAGACTCACTGTGCAGAGTGGCATCCCCTAGGCATGCAAGGAACCTATGATTGTGGATTCAAATGCCAGATTTGATTATGTGTCAAGTTTGGTCAGGACAGTGGGTTTCACTGAAGTGGTGAACATGTCTCAGACCTAAATCACATAGGGCATGATCCCAAATGAAGCTGACATGCCTTGATGCAAATGAGGTGAGGTGAGGTGAGGTGAAATTGGGTTTACTGTCGCATCCAAGATTAATGCACTTATATAGAGACGTGTGAGTGAGTGCATGCATGCTTACGAGCATGTGTGTTTTAATGCTGAAAGCCAGACAGGGTAACAACAAGTACCATCTTTTAACGTCGTTTGGTATGACCCAGTCGGGGATCGAACCCTGGACCTTCCGCTCTCTGGGCGAATGCTCTACCACTAGACCACGGAGATGGAAGTACTGTTCAAATAGTTGGGCAGAAGTTGTGCTATCTGCTACACATTCCAGTTTTGTTGTTCATGATTCTGATGCTTGGTTTGTCAGCAACGTACCGTTATTTAATCATGGAATTTACAAAATTACGGAATGTCCATGAATCAGACTGTCATCTTAAATTACTGTGACATGGGGCTGAGACAGGTCCAATTTTAGAACCCACATACCCAACCGCTTATTACCCGACCCTACCTGGGTACACGCTGTTGGTGGCTCTTGAAGGTTCCGGGTTAGAATAGATCTTCAGCAAACCATGCTTGTCTTAAGAGGCAAATATGCTTGTTGTAAGAGGCAACTAGCAAGATCGGGTCATCAGTCTCGCTGACTAGGTTGATACATGTCATTGTATCCCAATTGTGTGGATCAATGCTCATGTTGTCAATCATTGGATTTTTGGTCGAGACTTGTTTATTTACAGACTGCCATCATATAGCTGTATTGCTGAGTGCGGCGTTAAACAACAAACGAACGAATGTATACAACTTGCATAACAAGGCCCTTGTATACTCCCAACAGTGACCAGAACCTGCAGAGACAGAAGGAACAGTACCAGAGCACTGTGAGGAGCTTCATAGCCAAGCTGGGAGTCACTGATGATGATATTCATATAGTAGAGGTAGGTGACAACAGATGTGGGTCAATCTTTATGATGGTAGACAATAATTAGAAGTGATTTTAGCGTGTTGGTTATGAGTTGGGAAATACTTCCGCCCGTAATCCCCTTTAAAAAGTTATATATGTATGCATTGCCGCCTAACCCTTTCAATAAAATTTAGTTTTGAGGGGGGATACGGGCAGAAGTCTTGCCATGAGTTGTGGGGAATGAGACCTGAAGCAATCCTGGGAGTTTCAGCACCAACAAGATTATGTGAAGTTGGTGGTGTCTTGAATTTTTTTGTCATTATTAAAAAAAAAATTGGATTCTTCTCACATGTCTAAAGCTCAGTATGGGTAGATCTACTTTTGCCTACAGTCACTTTACAGAAATAGTGATGTGTTTTGTAATGTGATAAATAGTAGAAAATGATATATTTTGTTACTTAACACTGAGTTAGACACGGTTATTAATATTAAGATGTAAAAGAATGCAACTGGTCTAGAACAACAAATAGTTATAAGAGACTAATAAAACAAACTACACTATCTCCTGAGTAGATTCTCATTGTTGTTTAGTAACACAAGAAAACTGATCATACCAAACACTAGGATTAATTAGGTTAATTATTTAACAGACTTCAAGACAGCATAAGAGGAAAATAGGCGTTAAGTCAGTGTGTAAACCCAGGTTGTACTGGTAAATGTACCACAATGCATCAACTGGAATTTGATGGTTTTATGTGCAATGTGGATGTCATTGGAGCTTGTTGGAACATGGGACCATATTTTAGCAAGAAGTGTATTTATTCACTGCCAGAAATATATTGTTCTAAAGTTTTTGTGAGATGTATCTTTGTAATGGTTGGAGACTGTGTAGTGGATCCACTCGTAGCAACTATGCTTTTTTACGATGGCATCCACTCTGCAGAATTACCGACCATACTTAACCAAATCAACACATATCAAACCAACTGATATGAATATTTTATTTAATGACAACAATCTGGTACCTATGATGTATGACTTGTAATCACATATGTATTTACATCTGAGTGCTTGTAAATGTGTGTTAATGTACAAATGAGGAAAATATTTACTTCTGTCGGTATGTCATATTGAATCTTTGTGTGCATATGTGTCTGTGTGTACATATAAACGGTATGCATATTTTTGCGTGTGTGGTGGGGGTGATGTGTAGGGGTGTGGGTGGGGGTGATGTGTAGGGGTGTTGGTGTGGGTGATGTGTATCGGTGTGGGTGGGGGTGATGTTTAGGGGTGTGGGTGGTGTGCAGGGGTGTGGGTGGGGGTGGTGTGTAGGGGTGTGGGTGTGGGTGATGTGTAGGGGTGTGGATGGGGGTGATGTGTAGGGGTGTGGGTTGTGTGTAGGGGTGTTGGTGGCGGTGATGTGTAGGGGTGTGGATTGGGGTGATGTGTAGGGGTGTGGATATGGGTGATGTGTAGGGGTGTGGGTGGGGGTGATGTTTAGGGGTGTGGGTGGTGTGTAGGGGTGTGGGTGGTGTGTAGGGGTGTGGGTGGGGGTGGTGTGTAGGGGTGTGGGTGATGTGTAGGGGTGTGGATGGGGGTGATGTGTAGGGGTGTGGGTTGTGTGTAGGGGTGTTGGTGGTGGTGATGTGTAGGGGTGTGGATTGGGGTGATGTGTAGGGGTGTGGATATGGGTGATGTGTAGGGGTGTGGGTGGGGATGATGTGTAGGGGTGTGGGTGTGGATGATCTGTAGGGGTGTGGGTGGGGGTGATGTGTGTGGGTGTGGGTGATCTGTAGGAGTGTGGATGGGGGTAAGGGTGTGGGTGGGAGTGATGTGTAGGGGTGTGGATGGGGGTGGGGGTGATGTGTAGGGGTGATGTGTAGGGGGGTGATGTGTAGGGGTGTGGGTGGGGGTTGGGGGTGTGTGGATGGGGATGATGTATAGGGGTGTTGGTGGGGGTGATGTGTAGGGGCGTGGATGGGGGTAGGGATGATGTATAGGGGTGTTGGTGGGGGTGATGTGTAGGGGTGTGGGTGGGGATGGGGGTGATGTGTAGGGGGGTGATGTGTAGGGGTGTGGGTGGGGGTTGGGGGGGTGTGGATGGGGATGATGTATAGGGGTGTTGGTGGGGGTGATGTGTAGGGGCGTGGATGGGGGTAGGGATGATGTATAGGGGTGTTGGTGGGGGTGATGTGTAGGGGCGTGGATGGGGGTAGGGATGATGTATAGGGGTGTTGGTGGGGGTGATGTGTAGGGGCGTGGATGGGGGTAGGGGTGATGTGTAGAGGTGTTGGTGGGGGTGATGTGTAGGGGCATGGATGGGGGTAGGGGTGATGTGTAGGGGTGTTGGTGGGGGTGATGTGTAGGGGCGTGGATGGGGGTAGGGATGATGTGTAGGGGTGTTGGTGGGGGTGATGTGTAGGGGCGTGGATGGAGGTAGGGATGATGTGTAGGGGTGTTGGTGGGGGTGATGTGTAGGGGCGTGGATGGAGGTAGGGATGATGTGTAGGGGTGTTGGTGGGGGTGATGTGTAGGGGCGTGGATGGAGGTAGGGATGATGTGTAGGGGTGTTGGTGGGGGTGATGTGTAGGGGCGTGGATGGGGGTAGGGATGATGTGTAGGGGTGTTGGTGGGGGTGATGTGTAGGGGCGTGGATGGGGGTAGGGATGATGTGTAGGGGTGTTGGTGGGGGTGATGTGTAGGGGCGTGGATGGGGGTAGGGGTGATGTGTTGGGGTGGGGGTGGGGATGGGGGTAGTCTAGATTAAGACTTTGTGTACCCCTCTGACAAATATAAATTGGCACAGCTCCCACAGCCGAAAGCTATGAATACACAATGCCATTTGGAAAGCAGTCAAATATAACTCATGTAACACTGACTTTGTGTGCTGCCTCAATAGAATATGTTCTTTACTAGAATCTGTGCTTTACTGAGAAAGTGTTATCCCAAATATAACATTTGTCAGAGCACAGTGTTCAGAATTGTGTGGGCAACGCAAGAAACAGAAGGTACTATTTATACCTTATACAAAGTTCATCTTTCAAATTGCTGCAGTTGTATGTGAATATGTCAACAGCAGTATTATGAAGTGACAAGACCCTTTCCTATAAATGTCCTTTGATTCACTGCCCTTTCAAGTTACTGAAAAAATTTAATCACGCTAGGACAAATATATCTTTGTAGAGCATCGTCCATGGCTTCTGTTTCATTTTAATTTTCTTTCTCTATAAGTCCATTGAAACAACCCTTAATATAGGTTTCAGACCCTACTGTTACAAAGTAGTGAAGATAAATATGCTGAATGGTGCCAGGCCTTATTTCTGATAGTAGTCATACTGTGGTGCCATGACCGTGGTTCTTGTGACCGATCTGATTCATTACGAAGCACCATGTACATGGGATCGATGCTATAAGGGTTTATCTGAATTTGACCAAGGCCAAACCGTTTTTAAAACCATGCATCACTTGGACATCTCAAGGATATCCTATCTATCATGTATATCTCCTTCGTAGCCCTGGAAATGTTTTTGACACGTTGACTGGTCATGTCAATGGTCAAGGTTATCGTCAAGGTCATAGCTGAAGAAAAGTTTGTTTCAACAATAACTCAATGAGGATGTACTTTGGGTCAATAAAACTTGATCCGTCATCCTTAGGGCGGGTCCATTTCTGAAAAGGTGACCAGTGTGCAAAGTCAAGGTCACATCAAAGGTCAATCAGAAAATATGTTTGCTATTTTCACTAAAATCCATTTTCCGGCTGTCTAAATGCCTCAAAGTCTAATGTATGTATATGTTGTATCATTTGAATACTAATGTATGACAATTGATAACAATCTTATGATATCATCTTTGATCAGTGGTTGGTCACCGTTACCTACTTTCGGTTGGAAGAATATCCAACATTTTCGTATTACGTTGAATTCCGCAAGGGGACATGATATTTGGTTTATATGGTGGATAACTCTTTGGAATGTTCTTCAATTACACTTGACTGATATTGAATGTCAAATTCCCTTTCAGGGTCCTAAATTAAAAATTGTATCATGTTCGTGATAACTCACAAAGTGTTCAATATATTATATACTTCAGTGTGAAAGACTAAGTTGAGAAAAGTGATATTTTTTAGCAGTGAACACAACACTTGATATTTCACTGCAGTGAACATAACACTTGGACGGAACTATTGCCATATAAGGGTTACCTCCCCACAAATTGTCTCCCTTTATCATAAGTGTCTGGCCCATACACAAACTGTTGACTTCCTTTTTACGTTAGTTCCACATTGACATGGCAAAATTAAGACAGTTGGTCATTTATGGAGTTAATATCTCTTCTTGTCGTTTGTCATTCTCTTGAAAATGCTTAGTTCTGAACTGTACATTTCTCATTTAACTCATTAATTGAGACTCTTTGTATCGCAAATTTGTTACTTGACTAGCCATGAAGATCCGGGGTAGAATAGGTTTTCAGCAACCCATGCTTGCCCTAAAAGGCAACTATGCTTGTCGTAATGGGAGACTAACGGGATCGGGTGGTCAGACTCGCTGACCTGGTTGATACATGTCATCGTATCCCAATTGCGTGGATCAATGCTCATGATGTCAATCACTGGATTGTCTGGTCCAGAGTCGATTATTTACAGACCGCCGTCATATAGCTGGAATATTGCTGAGTGCAGCGTTAAACATCAAACAAACAAATAAACAAACAACTTGACTAGCGTGCATTCCTTCACTTCCAACGGTCTTGTAGCTTTCAAGAATGATTTTTGTTTAAGTTGATTTTTCACATAATCATATTAAAATCTATGATAAAGAATCTTATTGAACTCAAATATTTTTGTTTTACTTTTGTTTACATTTTTTAAGATTTTGCAAACTCGGAATTACTTTTTTAGTCACAATTACAAGGGGGGGGGGGAGGGGGGATGAAACATGAAATATCCTCTATGTAGTGGGTTGAAATTTGGCATATCTGCTTCTTTGAGTGAGGTATTGAGTTAGTAAGATTTTGAGTGACCTTCATTCAGGGTCACTGGAATGGTCATGTGTGAGGCAGTTCTGTGTCCTTTTGATTCCATTCTTGTGTACATATTTTACAACTCATTCTCTGTATCAGTACAGTTGCTGATGTGGGGATGTAACGTACTGTTATGTGAAGTAGATTTCATCTGGCAGTGTTGTTATGAAATAATTAAAATTGTGATGTTGAGTATCCACTGATCGTGGGCTTGGATCCCAGATTATGGTCCCAGGCCTATTAGCGTCATGTGAGTGGGTGTGAGTTTCATTAAAGACGTAATTGTCTGCATTGGTCGGATAAGCATTGATATAAATGACTTGCTGTTATTGGGCCACAAACAGTTTGTTGATGTTTGAGATTGTTGTGTTTTTCAAGACTAGATGAACACAAACTGGTTTTCATGGAGGTGAAAGTGTGAAGCTTTTGCTTCCTGCTTGGGTATGATGAACTACATTAACTGTGATCTCTTTGCAGTATTTGGCTGAGATAGTGAAGATGTCAGAGATTGAGCCGCACGTACGACTAACTCAAGTTGGAGGTAATCCCTACAGACAGTTTAAACATTTTTACTCCGCAACTGTTTTACTACACAGACTCCTTTTGGTCCGTATCCCATTATTGATGGATCCTGTTGGTCCGGATCCCATTATTGATGGATCCTGTTGGTCCGGATCCCATTATTTGATGGATCCTGTTGGTCCGGATCCCATTATTGATGGATCCTGTTGGTCCGGACCCCTTTATTGATGGATCCTGATCCCATTGATGGATCCTGTTAATCCAGATCCCATTATTGATGGATCCTGATGGTCCAGATCCCATTATTGATGGATCCTGTTGGTCCAAATCCCATTTTTGATGGATCCTGTTAATACAGATCCCATTATTGATGGATCCTGATAGTACAGATCCCATTGGTGGATCCTGTTGGTCCAGATCCCATTATTGATGGATCCTGATGGTCCAGATCCCATTAATGGCCATGCCTATATAGTTATGATCCTTGGTTTGTCAGTAAGTTACCTGTGATCATGAATTTCACCAGACATTTTAAACATGTACTGCTTGCATCAGGATTTCCCGCCCACTGTGAGCTGACACACCTTGATGTACTGAAGTACTGTCCGAAGGGGCATTTCACGCATCTCATTCAGTAACAGAATGCTGACTTCAGATCTGCTTCTGTCCAATCCTGCTTCTTCATAGAAGTCCTTTTCCCAAGTAATAATATCATGTTTGAAATAACCGGCGCAATAAGATTAAAGTTCTGAAAGAATATGTATTTGCTTTTTATTTTAGGTGGTGTTGCCAGACCGATCACACTGAATTACCTCCCTTGTCAGATGCAGCCTCTGAGGTTCTGAGTGAGGTTACTCCATCAGGTCCATCATTGACTTCAAGATGCATCACCAACCTCCAGATGCATCCCCCATTCCACCATCAGAGCTACTCCTTCACTGCCTAGAAATATGTGCACATGGGTTAGATAAAAAATACGTTCCACAATGACTGCAGCATACAACGCAGTCTCTAACTCAACAGTATTCTGAGGATAGCCAAACAACAGTTTGACCACAAGCACTTATTTGTGGTCATACAATGGAGGCTCAGATGCATGAAGGGGAGAGAACTCTTGTGTGAAGGATTCCTTTAGTATGGCCACATCGTCTGACTCAGGAGTTTGTTCATCGTTTAGTGCAATATGGACTCAGTGTACAATGGATCCTTCCTCTCTTAACTGAACATCGAGTAGCCCAGTGGGTAATGTGTCACAGTCTTGGTTTGAATCCCAACATGGGTTCAAAGTAGGATGAAAGTCCTTCGTATCCTCATAAAGACAAAGTATTGTGATAAATATTGTACTGAGATTTCAGTGTCGCAGCTTTTGTGAACATCATGAACATCATGAACATCATGAACATCATGAACACAATTAGTGTTCCATGCAGATTGGTGGAAGCAGCAAAGACCTAGCTATCTCAGTAGGTGCTCGAGAAAGAACCTGTTTTCGACTCACTAGAAACAGATTATTCAGTAAGGAATGAACTGCCAGATGAAGTAAGCATAACGACCCAGTCATCTCAGATGCTGGAAGTCTCTGTGCAATTGTATCTTGTTGGTTATTCAGGCCAAGTATGATATACTTACAGCGTTAGACAGGATCAAGTCTGTACCATGGTTAGTTCAAATCTAGGCCTACTTTGTTTCTATGGAAATGTGCTTATGTTAAACATGTCACTAGTCTGAACTGACCTGTTGACATCTTAACGAGGCAAGGGAGTTAACTGACTGTGGAAGTCCTGTTGCCACCCTTGCCTAACTAGGCTGGAATTTCTGGGTTCGATCGTTGCGCCTCCAGTGACTATTATGAGTTATGTCCCTTTTATGTCCTTCCTATTGACCAATCAGATTCCATGTCTCATATCATTGCATTTGCTTCAAATAATATGGCATCTCCCAGTGAAACAATCTGATCGATAATCAACTTGATCAAGATCTATGTTGTAATAAAACGGGTCTTTCTTCTCAGAGTGAATCAAATCACAACTGCAGGGATAGAGGTGTTGGGGGAGAGGAACACAAGCCGAACCCATTTCATTATCATCCAAACAGGAAACAGTAGTCTGTTAGGCATTTGGGGGGTTCAAAAACCAAAAGCTAAGCTGGGCAATCAAATGGCAGGAATCACTTGCAATTTATTGATTATTGGTGACACCGTTCAAAGTGTGGTCTGCTTTATCATGCTGCTATAATGCAGTCGGGAACTTGTAAAACCAGATGAATATATATGTGTAAGCTATCATCATCATCATCATCATCATCATCATCATCATCATCACTTTTTTCCATCATTTGCTGTTTGCTGACATTGAATGAAATATTATTCAAAGCAGCATTAAACCCAACTCACTCACTTGGTCCTTGTCCCCGATGACATGGATTGTTGCTCACAATATCGATCACTGGATTGGCTGGTTCGGGCTTGATTATTTACAAGCCACCTTCATACAGCTTGAATATTGCAGAGTGCAGTGTTCAACAACAGACACCTCATTTAGCAATCCTTGGAACTTGAATTTGAAAGAACAAAATCCCACCAACATGTCGCCTTCATGAAAAGCAGAAATGAAGAGCTGCATGTTTAGTAGTAGTCTCTGTAAAAACACTTCACAGGATAGACACATAGAGCGTTGTCCCTGCTAATGGACTAAAAAGTCTGAGCCACTGATGTGAAATAACGGATTATATTGACATGGTGAAACACACCATGCATTCTTACATGTCTCTGTCAGACATGAAAATACAGTCAGTTCCTGACATGGAAGAAATCTTTTAGATCCATTTTTGGGTCAACATTTACAATTCCTGTTATTTCATAGTTGATGACCAGTCTTTGAGGATTGGATTTTTTTTGTGGTTGCAGCTATACTGAATTTGGACTGTCATATTGAATTATTTTAGAGCCCGATACATATTTCAAGAACAAATTCCTAGTTTCCTTAAATATATAGACAAATATATATTTCCTCCTGGTAGATTTATGAAGTTGTTATGACGTATATAGCCCTGTACTCTAGCGGTGGGGTAGCCTAGTGGTTAAAGTGTTCGCTCGTCACACCAAAGTCCTGGGTTTGATTCCCGACATGGGTACAACGTGTGAAACCCATTTCTGGTGTCCCCCGCCGTGATATTGTTGGAATATTGCTAAAAGCGCCGTAAAACCATATACACTCACTCACTCAATTACTCATTCTACCCAATGCTTCAGATGACTGATCAGTGTTGCCAGGCCTCTCTTCTATATACTGCGCATGAAAAGTTGGGGATCATGGATATTTTGGGGATATGTTTATCATCTTGGGCTCAATCCTCACTACAAGAAGATATCCCTAAGTGAGTGAGTTGTGCTTAACACCGCTTTTAACAGTATTCCAGTTATATCACGACGTGTCAGCTTAATATGGGAGGAAATCCCAAAGTAATGCAGGTCTCAGACATTGACCACTTCGGTGAAACCCATGAGCACGGGTATGGTGCTGACAAACCTAGAAACTTAATCAGGGCGAACAGGGATTCGAACCCACAATCGTAGGTTTCTTGCGTGCCCAAGGGACGCAACTCTCCACAGCGAATCGCGGCGCCTTAGACGAATGGGCCACCCGTGCCCCCGCTGATATCCCTAAGCATATTCATGATCCCTAACTTTTCTTGTTCAGTATATGTAAGTTATATAGCGAGAAGCTTGCTTACCTGTCTTAATATCAAACATATCAATAAGTCTTCTTTGATAGGCATTTAGAAGTTGGAGTACTAAGTAAGGATAAGAATTTATGGATGAACAACAACTTTATTACAATTAAGAGCAACATTTTGGTTAGGTTCTAACACTTGCTTTATAACGGTGTTAGAACCTACACCGAAATGTCGCTCTTAATTGTAATAAAGAAGTTGTTCATCCATAAATTCTTATCCTTATCAATAAGTCAATAAAGTTTTACTCTGATACTTGCATACAGTAAACTGTGGTTATAATGAACTCAAAGGGACCACTACGTTTAGTTTGTTATAACCGAAGTTTGTTTATAAGCATTGTACAGCATATACCAATAATACCAATCATTTATAACAACAATGGCTGTAGTCGTGGCAACTTCCAAAGTTGTAATCTATCAGACCGTCATTCAGGCAACGTTTCTGACAGATCACGATCAGAAAAATACTATCATGAAAGAGTATCAGGAAGATGCAAAGTGGTAAACGTCTGAGACCTGCATTCGATTCCCGACATGGGTACAATGTGTGAAGCCCATTTCTGGTGTCCCCCGCCGTGATATTGCTGGAATATTGCTAAAAGCGGCGTAAAACCATACTCACTCACTCACTCACTGAGACCTGCATCACTTGGGGCTTTCCTCCCACATTAAGCTGACATGCAGTGATATAACTGGAATACTGTTAAAAGCGGCTTTAAACCCAACTCACTCACCCACTTAGTCCTGCACCATGACCGTGGAATATATTTATTTTATGATTAAAAATAAATCTAGAAATGCATGCAAAAGCAAGTCTAGCCAGCTCAAGCTAGCTCTATTCCACAATCAGCATAGGGAATTTTTTTGAATTTTTAGTGTCAAGAAGGATATTGTGTAATATAAGATTTCAGAGACTAAATGTTAGTCTATCACTCACTCACTAAATAATGATATTGTAGGAATATTGCTGCTGCAATATATATTACAGCAGCAATCACAGCAACAGAATGACATTGTTATAACCTTGAAAAGGTCACAGGAAATTCTTTATAATTGTGATTGTTTTGGGTTTTTTTAAAACAACAATCTGTCTGTTTCTTCAACATATTTTTCAGATTTGTATAATTAAGGTTATTTTTCAGTTTGATTTATCTGACACTTTAATAACTTAGGATGAAAGTGGTTGTTATTTGTTTTAAGTATAAGATATGACGGGGTGATCTGGTGCAGCTGTAACTCGTGCCACAGAACAAATAGCCTCCCAAGGAGCAATGTTTTTTTACTGTAATTAGGGCTAATTAGCTTACATGGGTCAGGGTACAGTGATTGTCACAGAAGAACTGCTCACGTTGGTCCTAAATTATTTTCTTTCATGATCATCCATTTCTAAATCTGAAATAATACTCGATGAGATCCCAGTACTAACCCGAAAGCGAGATGTTAGAAACTCTACAAATTGATAAATGTAAGTTGTGTGACTTGGGTATCAGATTTTTATTAATATTTTAATATTTTTGTCATAATATTTTTTAACTGTCATGACAAATGATGGCTCTTCAAGTCTTTGACAGTATTAAGGATATCTGCTCCATGTGGCATTTGTAGAAAACCCATTTATGAAATTCAAAATACAAATTGCATTCAAGCTAACATGATGCAACATCAGTTCAAAATATTTCAGGGGGCACTGATGGCACAGTCATCTAAGGTGACACTATTTGCTGTGCAGAGTTGTGTCCCTTGGGCAGTCCAGGAACCTATAATCATTGGTCCTTCCCACAGTAAGCTAACACGTGATATAACTGGAATACTGTTCAAAGCAGCAACAAAACAAACTCACACTCACTCACTCAAAATTTATCATTGACACTGTTGTTATCTGGAACAAAGGAGCACGGGTGGCCCAGTCGTCTAGGGCGCTGTGCAGAGTTGCGTCCCTTGGGCACGCCAGAAACCTATGATTGTGGGTACGAATCCCGGTTTGCCCTGATTATGTTTCTAGGTTTGTCAGCACCTTACCCATGCTCGTGGGTTTCACCGAAGTGGTAAACGTCTGAGACCTGCATCACTTCGGGCTTTCCTCCCACATTAAGCTGACACGCTGTGATATAACTGGAATACTGTTAAAAGCGGTGTTAAACCCAACTCACTCACTCACTCACTCACTCACTCACTCACTCACTCACTCACTCACTCACTCACTCACTCACTCACTCACTGATATGGAATGAAAACTATGAAAGTAGAAAGTAGAGTGACATAGTCTTATTTCAATATGGCTGAATTGTTATATCATATATTGGACACCGACAGGTAATTTAAGGAAGATGCATACTGTTCTATTCTTTCATTGTGGCCCAGTCACCTGAGGCAATGAAATTTCTGTACAGAGTTGCAGAGTTTGCACTGATACGTTTCTATGTTTATCAGCATGAGTGGTCATAGGCTTCAGCTAAGTGGTTGTGTCAAAGATCGGCAGTCACTCTTTCCCACATATCAAGCTGACATCCAGTTCAGTCACATTGTATCACGGGACGATGAGACCGCCTACTTGGTCTCGTGGTAGAGCATCCGTCCGGAGAGTGGAAGGTCCGGGGTTTGATCCCCGGCAGCGTCATACCCAAATATGTTAAAAGATGGTACTTGTTGTTACCCTGTCTGGTGCTCGGCATTAAGGGGCTTACACACACACACACACACACACACACACACACACACACACACACACACAGCTCTATAAGTGCAATTCTATAAGTGCAATAATCTTGGACGCGACATTAAACCCCATTTCACCTGACCTCACCGGACAAAAGAACGTATAAAAGTCAGATTTGATCAAATACTTACTAATGTTATAAAAAATATTACCTGACTGGAAACAGTCGTCGAAACACTGCAACCTTAAGATCAAAACACAACTATGATACCCGTATCAATATATCACCATGGAATATCAATTTCTCTAAATCGTCATCAGTCCTGACTAGTGCAAGCACACACACAGAGGACTATGACACCCTCTACCACAGGATGACACCCAGTGACACAGGATGACACCCAGTGACACAGGACGACACGCAGCATCACTGGACGACACCCAATATCACAGGACGACACCCAGTGACACAGGACAACACTTAG